AACCGTTTCATTAGTTAACACATTATTGAAAACTACCTGTTGTTTCCTGTCAAACAGATATGATCTGAACCATTTGATAACAGTACTGGAAATACTATAATCATGAGCCAATTTTTCCAAGAGAATCTGATGGTCTACACAATCAAATGCCGCACTCATATCTAAAAACGTGACTAGAGCCACATGTTGTTTGTCCAAAGCAGCAAACAACTTAGAAAACACATAAAGCAGGGCAGTTTCTGTTGAATGATAGCGGCAATATCCAGATTGGTGAACTGGTAGTAGGTTGTTTACATTCAAATGATTCAAGAGCTGTTTGGCAACCACTCGTTCAAATATCTTGGAAATGAAACAGATGTTGGAAATTGGTCTATAACTAGACAAATCATTTTGATCTATATTCACTTTCTTTAAAACTGGATAAACCATAGCATGCTTACAACCATTAGGAAATGTGCCACTGCTCAAACTCAGATTTAAGATACTGGTAAGAAAAACGATGAATAAATCAATATATTTCTTTAAAATATGGGTCGGAAAGACATCTATCATACATGTTTTTGATGGCAAACTGAGTACAATTTTTCTAACATCAGATTCTGTTAAAAGCATAAAGTCAGGAAAAGAATAATTTCCATTGTACTGAGCTTGACAAATAGTCGGACAATTAGACACATTGGTAGACTGTTTAATTTTATTTACTTTATCATTAAAAAACTTTAAGAATTGAGACGAATCTAAACCAACAATTTCACTCAATGACTGACCAGTGACCTGATTACAAAGAACTTTATTAATAACATTCCATAGATTTTTAAAAGATCCACTATTGTCTGCAACAAGTCTTTTCCAATAACTGTTTTTTTTGTAAAAAAAAAAGCCTAGATTTATTTTTCAGAGCTGCTATCCACTCATTTTACATTTCTCTGTCTGATATTTTCTGTAATTCCTTTCTTTCTTTCGACAAAGTCTTTTGAAAGATTTACATTCACCATCATACCATGGAGCATTACATCACATCTGACTTCTGTAAAACGAAGTGGAGCAACTGCATCAGCCAATTTCTTGAGTTCAGAACTCATCATATCAAACTCAATATTAATATTATTGCTTTGGCAAGACCTTGATAACGGAGAAGTCTGTATATATTTAATGAGATTGCTTTCATTTAGGTATTTCCAGGATCTAACTTGTTTCTTGACTATTTTAGGACGCTTATGAGTTAACGGTATATTAACCTGAATTAAACTATGGTCTGAAAAAATCCCACTGGGAAAAATCTTAATATCTGAAATCTGAAAATTTTGAGAACAAATAATCAGATCAATACCTCCATGTTCATGAGTCGGTTCGTCAATCAAATTTTTTAATTGAAACATTTCTAATATTTCCAATAAATTTACAGTATGACGATCTTCCTGCTTCTCAAGGTGAAATCACCCAAAAGTATGATATTTAAACTAAAAGAAGTGATATTTTCTAGTAAACATAAAAATTTTTCAAAAAATAAATTACTAACTAAAACTGATCCTGGCCTGTAGAGGGCTAATAGAACAAAATCTTTGTTGCTAATAAATAATTTAACAGCAAGTGCTTCAAATGAACTAAATATTGGCAGATCTATTTTCTTAAACTTAAACTCATTACTGAAGTAAATAATTAAACCCCCATGGTAAAGATCATTTATCCTTAAATAATCAACATAACTATATCCTGGTGACATTGATGATTTAACAGAAATGTTATTCAAAGATCCGTGCCAAGTTTCAACTAAAACGAAAATATCTAGCCCATCACGAATCGAATCATAGATCGTATCAGTTTTAGAAATCAATGATCGAATGTTCAATAAACCTAGTGTTAAATTACGATTTATTATGTTGTAGTCTTTATCATTGTTATCATTTATTTCTAAATTCTTGACATATTTTATATTAACATTGGTTTTTTTCTGTATTTTTACAATCTTCCATCTCCCTACCTGTCCTCTCTGAACAAAAAATTTTGATTGTTTTCTTCTCGCTCCATAACTTTAGCTTTATCAACAAATGATTTGAATTCCTGCCTCTGATCCTTTGTTAAATCATAGTTCAGTCCAACATGTGAAAATTCTTTTAACGACTTGAATTTATATACATTTCTCATTATTGAGTCTCTGAGTAAAACGCAATCCAACTTTATCAAAATGGGTCTAACGACAGTTTCGCATTTCCTTCCCAGTCTCATTATTTTGATTACATTTTTTTCAGAAACATCTCCTGTCAAGTGCTTTAAAATTTTCAAAACATTGGAACGATCATCATCACTTTCAGCTAAACGAAACATCAATAAATTTGTTTCTCTTTCTTTAACGTCACTAGCTTCTTGTAAAGTTTTCTGGATTGATTTGACATCACTTCTAATTACTTTAACATTCAATTTAACTTCCTTGCTGACAATGCTAGAAAATGTTTCTTTTATTTCGTTTTTAAAAATTTTAATTTCCTCGCGTAAAACAGTATAGAAACGATCAGTTTCGTCAAGTTAGGATTGTTATGGTTCAACAACCATTTTATTGCTTCAACGTCAAGTTTTATTTTTTTGGTTACTATCATTATTTTATTTAGTTGAGCAAACAAATTCATTTTAGACGCATCCCATGGATTAGCCAAAGAACTAACAATCTGAGACAAAATCACACAAAGTTTGACAAACCATTTTAAAACTTTAACAATTCTCAAAAATTTCAGAATAATCTCCTTAGTTTCACATTTAATTGGAACCAAAGTTCTGGCAACAAGTGCTGGACAACAAATCTTTACTTGGAACTTCTATTGTACACTTCGTACAACAGTAGCGACTACCGGACGACATTATTAAATTTATTATTATAATTAATTACGCTTACTAGCAGGGAAATTCCTATCACGTGACAACAATTTACAGACAATATTTTATCAAATTTCACTAAAATAGTAAATTTTACAAACTAAATTTGGTATAAAATTATTCAAAAATCTAATTATATTAATCTATCCAAAAAATATCAATAAACGATTACTTTTAACGACGAAAACACCAAAATTAACTGACGAAACGACAATATCAACCGTCCAAACGACTGTCCAAACATATATATATATATATATATATATATATATATATATATATATATATATATATTATATTTATATATTATATTTATCTATTACCAACATATATATATATATATATATATATATTATTTATATATATATATAATTAGAAAATTAAATGATATATTAGCCAGTCACAAAAGACTTTTTCAATCACAGGAGTAGGCTACTTAAATGAAACATCATGCCAGAAAGCATCAAAATTTTTTTTAAACCAAGATTCTATCAAAAAACACGTCCACAAACTCAAAACTGGACCGAAAAATAATATCTCTGAATGTTTCTGTTGAAGGACTGCGTCCTTAACTTGAACCTGTTGCCTCTGGTTCTTGAGTCCTCGTACCTTAACAAGTTTGGAAGACTGGGATCGAAACCTCTTTTCAGAAGTATGTAGACCAAAATCATATCACCACGGTTTCTTTTGTACAGCAGAGAGCGCTTTGGATATCTTCCTTTCTTCATATTTTAATGAAGAATAATTCTTGACCAATTTGGTAGCCCTTTTCTGTACTCTTTCAATGTCCTTCAAGACCTTCAATCTTTGAGGCCGCCACACACTGACAGCGTACTTTAAGTGAGAACGAACTAGTGTTGTATATTACGTTAAAAAAACTATATTATGTAAAATTATATTAATTATACGCAAAATATTAAATGATTTATTTAAAACTGAATAGATATGATTTGTAAAAGTTAAATTTTTATTAAATAATACTCCGAGATCTTTGACTTCATGATAATTAATTTATAATTGAAATGATTTACACAATCACTCCCATAATTTAAATTAACAAATTTGCTTGATTTCTAGAAACCATGTATTTTTTCCACAATCTCCTCTTTAACTTTATTGAGTTGACCAGAGATGCTGGAAGAACCATCTTAAAACATTTATTATTGTGCCTAATGTTGCTTTTGACAGGAGGGATGTAAGTGTTAGTTGCTTGTTTCAAAACTTGAGTGAAATGGTGCCAAAGTGCGTTAAAATGCAATTTATGATCTACATCTTTTACATCGGTGCCTAGCAAAGTAGTATTGTAAAGTCTTTTTTGAATGAATTCGTTCATCATAACAAAATCTCCCCTATCGAAATCAAATTCGGGTTGATCTAATGTGATCTAATGAATTAATTTATAATTGAAATGATTTACACAATCACTCCCATAATTTAAATTAACAAATTTGCTTGATTTCTAGAAACCATGTATTTTTTCCACAATCTCCTCTTTAACTTTATTGAGTTGACCAGAGATGCTGGAAGAACCATCTTAAAACATTTATTATTGTGCCTAATGTTGCTTTTGACAGGAGGGATGTAAGTGTTAGTTGCTTGTTTCAAAACTTGAGTGAAATGGTGCCAAAGTGCGTTAAAATGCAATTTATGATCTACATCTTTTACATCGGTGCCTAGCAAAGTAGTATTGTAAAGTCTTTTTTGAATGAATTCGTTCATCATAACAAAATCTTCCCTATCGAAATCAAATTCGGGTTGATCTAATGTGGAATAAATCTTAAAATGATCGAAATGCAATGAAAATCAAAATAAATAATGATCACTTTTATCCAGCGGAGCCAAAAGGTGCGAGTCATCAACCAACTCCAAAATGTTATTGGTTTGGTTTGTTTTGTATCTAGTTGGCTTATCCACTATTAGTTGCAACAAAATCCTTAGTTAAATTAATAAATTTGCCTTCAGAAGACTTGTTCTCCGCATCAGATAAAATGAAGTTCCAATTAATCCTTGAAAAATTAAAATCCCCAATAATAATTTTAGCGCCTTTCAATTTTAAAAATTCCTTGATTAATACAATTAGAAAACCATTGTTGTTCCTGACTAAGTAAGGACTTTTATAAATGGCCAAAAAAATGACATCAGTTTTACAACCTTTTAAAGGAAACAGAGGTATTTATTAAAATTAGTTTAACTATTTTTCATGTTAATGCCCTAAGTTTGTACAAAAAAATAAACTTACTCCAAGTTTTATTACTCCAGTTGCAAAACTTTTTTAACATAATAATTAATACAGAAACTTGGCTAAGCGAAAATTCGGCAAATTTTTTGATTTACCTAACTTCAAATTAAAATTATATGTATCTTTAAATGATTTGAAATTAAAACAGACATTAAATCTATTAAATTGTTATTTCAAAACATTTGGTTTCAAATTTTCTCCAACACTGGTTTCAATTATACTATAATCATGTTTGCAATCTAACACGTATCACCCTTCTACTAATCAGTGGTGGGGTGCGAGGACTTCGCCCTCCCGGCCAACACCCAGTTCGAACGCAAGCGGAACAAGATGACCATAAAATGCAACTCGTCACGTGACACCTGGTACTTGACCTGCAGACAGAACAAGTGGATCGGAGGAATCAGCAACTGCTCGGAAGGTCAAAGACATTTTTAACATTTACACTTTTATATATTTAACTTTAACTTGATTTTATTAACTTTAAAATGTAAAAGTTATTGAAGTTTTTGAAGGGTTGCATGATATTTTTTTAATTTGTTCAAATATGGATTTTTAACACCAAAGCACATCATTTGAAACCCCACACTTAAAATACCTCATTTGAAATCCCACACTTAAAATACCCCTTTTGAAACCCCACACTTAAAACACCACACTGCAGATAAAGCCTGGAGCAACGGATTCAGTTGGACCAACAAACCTAAGCTCCTCCCTGTTGGTGGGTTCTGATTGGCCTGCGTGCGTTAAATGTTTTAATGACATACACGCGATTATTTTCAAATAACAAACTGGCCACAGTCGTGACTTATTTACATTTTAATTCCCTGCTGATAGAAAATAAGCCGTTAGTTCAACGTAGCGAACAATCAATCGTAACAAATAAAACAATATACAAAAATATAGAAGTGATGAATAAATAACATTTAAATGTCTAGCAGCATATTAAACATTTTCCTTTTATGTAGTCTTCGTTACAATTCAAATAATGCACATAAATATTGATAATAAATAATTCGAAGATCGCCATGTTTGATGTTCCTCTCCATATTTAAAGTTTCATGCACCGCTTTTTTTATAGTTTGTTTGCCGATAGCCAAACACGTGCATGCACGCACAACCGGAAACGGGGAAAAACAACTTATCAACAACAACTTATGCTTGGATGGTCATTTTTTTACTTCGCTGTTAACAGGAGTGGGCTGTTTTTCCATCAGCCTGCTAAACTTATCACTTTACAAACAAAATTTAATTTAGTAGCAATAACATTGATAATGTTGAATCTACTTTGAAAGCTGTCTGATAACTACGATACCACTGTCATCTGCCGTTCACTTCAACTGGCTGCCTCACAACGCGTTCGAAATAACCCGCTACAAAATTTCAAAACTTAAATTTTCAAAAAAAATGCTGTGAGTTATGTTCTAGGCAATATATTAACTTAATGTGCCTTTAATGTTTCTAATATATCAATGCATCAATATATTAACCTTTGGTCGTACGAAGCCAAAAAGCGCGTGATTAATGCCAGACATCAATTAGAGTGATGTGATACTTTTCCGCTACATCGTTTCATATGGAAATGCGGTCGGTCGAGTAATTAATGAAAATGAAATATTTAGGACTGTTTGCATGTGCCAGTGTTTGTGATCGAATGCCGTTGACACGTTCATGTGCCGCAAGCTCCAGCTGTAAATATTTACGGGGATATTCTATTGAAACAATAAATTTGGTTATAAATGTTTAGGCGCGTTTCTGCGCTCATGTGAATGCAATGCTTCCTTTTCAAATGAGTGCAAAACAAAATTTTGGTTTGTTGCGCGCTGATAAGTCATGTACATGTTTTATTATTTAAATGAATTTGTTTATGCTTGGAAAGAAGACACGTCTGTTTGACGTTGGCATTCAAGAAGCCTTGCTTGAATAAGAAGAAAGAAGTTATGCAATGAAATAAACATTATGCTATGCGTATTTCGGGGTCGTTGTCATTAAAAACTATTCGGAAGACAAACGACGTACGTTGAACGTTTCTACGGCCTAGATGCCTTCCGTATAAAAAAGCGATTGCAACTCCAATAAAACGCATTATTGTTTTTTTTAGGGTCAGTTACGATGAAAAAAAAGAGGTAACCGATTGGAAGGAGCGTACGGATCACGAATTGAGCAGGCAACCAATTGGAAGGACGCTACACTAGAACCGACCCAATTCGGACTTGCCTGGTTGGCGCGGTTGAGCTGGAAAGCGTGTGCCTGTCATTGAGGCTGCCTGCGCAGACCATTAGACCGGCTTGTGAGAATTTTGATGTTTCTGAAATTGGGTCAGACCTTTCAGATCTGTGCAGGCAAGCCGGAACGTGTCTGTACGTTCAAAGTTTTAACTGCACGGTTTTAAACGAATTGTATCAATCCATTCCTGTTACAAAGCACGCAATAAAAATAATCATTTTTATTTTATATATGTACAGATGTTAAACCAGGACAACGTTGTTTTAAAGAAATAACAAAATAAACTGAAGAAAAAATTTTTAAATTAAACCCATTTAATTCTAAATAAAATTTTAATATGCACATTTATCATAAGGCCAAACATGATTGGATAAGAAACTAAAATATCTAGTTACAGAAATGTGTTGATGGTTGAAAGGGAATTACGTGCAGTTAAGTTTGAAAATAATTTAGAAGATCAAAAAATATCATTCAGCGAGAAAGACGTGTCAACTGCTGCTGCTTGCCATTCTCAGTGTCCTGACTGTTGCAGAACTGAAAGTTATTTTCAAGAGTAATGTTAAAAACAAATTTCTTGAGTAGAAGTCCAAAATAAAAACATGGATGATATGTGACCATTAAACAAATGGAGTAATGTTTATTGAACCAGCATTATGACGATGACGACGACGATAACGACATTTAAGCTGATGATGATTTTGACATGTGTAGACGATGATGATGATGATCTCGACAACAACAACGATGATGAGGATGGCAATGAAAATGATGATGACGATGATGATGACGATGATGATGACGATGATGAGGACGATGATGAGGACGATGATGATAACTATGCAGGCTTGATGGTGGCAGTGGTTGTTGGAGCCATCTTTGGAATGATATCTGGAGTCATCCTTCTCTTCTGTGCATTCGCCTACCAGAGAAGGTGCTGAATGTTTTGTCGTAAATTTTTTTTCAACATTTATCGCTATTGATAATTTATTTTCATGATTCGAAGAGTGAATACGGTGAATAAATAGCGGCTCAATCAATCTCTTCTCATTTAGATTGTATCTCGACGCTAAAAATGGATCAACGCGTTATTTCAATAAATTATTGTAATCATGTCATGGTACGAAATTTTTTCCAAAAATACGGCAAAGAACAGACAGAATTTAGAATGTAGAATTTAAAAATTCGCGATTCATTTGTGCAAAATATTTAAAATAGTAATACACAAGTAAAGAGTAAACAATGGAATTCGCAAGCACTGAATTGTGAAGCAATAAACCAGGTTTCCAACACATCTTGCATTTCTACTTGTCTGCGTGTGCTTTTTTAAACAGGCGTTTAAGTTGACTTGAATGCGTTTCAGCATCTTCTACGTATTTTATTCTACAAAGACGTGAAGAATAGTTTTGAAAATTAATTTATAAAATATTACTCTTGACTATTAAAAATGTACTTTTCTTAATACTTAACAACCTTAAGAATCAAAGCAGAGGTGAGAATATGATAAATAAATAATTAATAAATGAAGCATTTCATAAAAATGAACTAATAAAAAATCGATTTCATTTATTTAAACACACCATATGTATGTATGTATGTATGTATGTATGTATGTATGTATGTATGTATGTATGTATGTATGTATGTATGTATGTATGTATGTATGTATGTATGTATGTATGTATGTATGTATGTATGTATGTATGTATGTATGTATGTATGTATGTATGTATGTATGTATGTATGTATTTATGTATGTATTTATGTATGTATGTATGCATACATATAAGCATGTATGTATGCATACATACAAGCATGTATGTATGAATGTATGCATACAAGCATACATACATACATACATACAAGCATGTATGCATGTATGTATGTATGCATGTATATATGCATGTATGTATGTATGAGGAGAGTGCACGTGTTGTGTATGATGTCAAGCGAGGAGGAAACCTCATATATTTTTTGACGTCGAACGTTCCGCATGATCGGACGCGCTTGCTCTTTCTGTGTGTTCATTATTTTGCTTCTATTTTCGAAATTGCTAGGGACTTGCGCTTGTATGATTTTTATGCCAGTTGTTTTCATTTTCAGGGCACGAAGGAAGGAGCAGAACATTCTCCTGAAGGTCGAGGACAGGTGTCTGAAAGCTCAAAAAATTTCAACGCATCTTCCCAGCGACAGATCAAAGCAGTTGTCGCACATAGATGTGTTGTGTGACAACAATGTCGACATTAACTGCAGCAGCAACAACAACGCAAATAACATGTGCACCATCAGCAACAACATCAACAACATTCCAAGGGTCGGCGCTAGTTATGACACTTGCAGCAACTTCGCGTCGTTGTACTTGATGAATGACAAAGCAAAAGAAGTCGATCATTTCACGAATAAATCGCTCCCTAACAAAAAACAAACGAATAACTGCAAATTTTTATTTGATTTCAGGCACAAAAAGTCTTCTGAGAGCTCTGGAGAACAAACCTGCCACAACTCCTGCCCTCTGTACAACCCAGCCATCAAACCACCTCAAGTCCACGTGTCATCTCAACCCTTCATAATAAGAGAGCCGGTCCTATACCACATGACATCCATTCCAAAACCACCACCACCACCAATCCTTAAAGATATTACAGTTAATAAATCAAGTTTACTCCCCGATATCTATATGCACGCGTCAACAAAACATAAAAATATTTTCTGCAAAAAATCATTAACTTCTAAAATTTTTAGCGAAAAACAAAAAGGTTTGGAAAACTCGAATTGCACAAAACTTTTAGAGACAAATGATCATTTGAAGTCACTTTGCAGAGAAGATGAACTGCAGATGGACGGTACATGTACATATCAGGCAAGCACCTCATGTCCGATCTGTCAACTGGACAAGTACAAGAGCGTGGAGAGGAGGTCGCCGGCCAACAACAGTTCCTCGTGCGTCGTCGATTGCTGCATAGCAACTCATCAGCAGAAGCAGCAGGAAGTTTTCTTCACGACGCAAAGTGCGGAGACACACCTGAATGAGTGCGTCAATGCATCTTCAACCATTCCATGAAATTCTAAAATGAGTGCACCGATAACCATTGATGATATCATCAGCAACGTCATCATCAGCATCAACACAGTCCTTCAGTTCGTCATATACGTTGTCCTATTGTAAATGACATGAATAACCATAATTATTTTATATTTTTCCCTCAACAGGACAAATTTTCAAAAGTTTGACATGAGTCAAAAAGTGATGTTGTCAACTTTTCAAGGACACCCCCTTGCCCTCTCTCGGCAGCATCTCCCCGGCACACCACCGACCACTGATTTCCATAAGGACGAGCTTGTTTTTATGTGGAGTACAAAAACAATTGCACTTTTTAAAAGCTCTCTCTCTCTCTCTCTCTCTCTCTATATATATATATATATATATATATATATATATATATATATATATATATATGTGTGTGTGTGTGTGTGTGTGTATTTACATATTTTTATGTTAAGAGTAACGTAAATATATATATATATATATATATGTGTGTGTGTGTGTGTGTGTGTGTGTGTGTGTGTGTGTGTGTGTGTGTTTATTTAGTTAATTCTTACTTAAATTTAATTTTTTAAATATAACAAGATATATAATGTTTATGAACTGATAGATTAGTCATACATGTTTATAATAAAAACAATATATATATATATATATATATATAATATATATATAAAATATATATATATATTTTATACTATTTATAAGTTGCATAAACATGTTTAATTTATTTTATTTCATTTGCTTACAAATCAATTAATTAATTGTTTTATGGTTCGAAATAATATCTGACATATGATTAATTATTAGTATTTATTCATATATTCATTTGTATATTTTTTTGTAATTAGTTAATTAACTCATTCATTCAGTCAGTCATTTATTTATTTGTTTCATTCATTTATTCGTTCATGCATTTATTTTTATGACTATCCAGTAACTCAGTACGTGATCTGCACCACACACAGTCCATCTCCACGCAGAGGTTTACTGTATATATACTAACATGATTTTTTTAGATTTCATCCAAACAGGTAGAATTTTGTTTTGTCTTACACGAAGTGTTCGTCGATTAAGGTTTATCATAATATTCCGTTAATAATGAATTAACTGAATTCATAAACAGTGGATCACTTGAAAACAGCGGTCGTTGGCAAACTGACCAGATGTTGGTTTCTTTTATTATAAGGAATGATTCAAATAGCATTATAACATGAAAAGCATTGCAATTCCCGGGCATTATTATTTCTCGTTTTTGAAAAAATTTAGTTTGAATAATAATTAAAAACAGAATAAACTTATACAATAAGTTAATAAATCAATGTCAGATGGGATAAATCCCCGCACACACTTGCCACTGGATCTGCTACTGCCCAACTAGTGTAGCCTGTGAAACTTAACCCATAATTTTCCCGGGTAAAAAACTGAGCCAGAAAACTCAAAATATTATCATTCTTGAAAAAACAAGACAACCAACCATACAATTCTAGCCTTCCAAATAAACGTACAATCAGTCTAAACGTCTGAACAAAACGTTGAGATTGCAGACTTCGAAAAATGGCGTCGTCGACCGAGCGGACATCAGAAACCTTCAAATTCAATTGAAAACGATCGAACGATAAGTCCTAAGAACTTAAGAAGGTAGGCGCATAGAGCCAGCACAACCCTGGCACACCTGTGTTGTTTCTGATTAGACTTGTTGATATAACATAGTAAACTATTTGTTGTCGTTGAGCAGGTCCTTTTAATAAATTTGTTGACTTGAATTCGAAGTTAACTATTTTTCGATATTTTAGACCCTAAATAATCGTTCGTTTATGGGAGGAAACTCTAGTCACCCCGACGATGGTTATTTTTTATTTGTTAAATTATTACAAAATAATTATTAAAGTTTATTTACTTAACCGTTTGTCCAATTTTTGAATTTGTGTTTATCTTTACTCTTTGTCTTTACTGATTGTTGTTTAATTTAAAAACCTTTTTGAAAAACCTTTCAACGTTTTCATTTGCCACTTGGACGATTTAAGTGACTTACTTTGATTTACAGTTAAGGCTAAGACAAGACACAAGAGTAGGGTCATACTTTTAACTTTAATGTTTAATCTAACTCTTTACTCAATTTATTTAAAATTTAATTAACAGTCTTGTTAGAAACATTATTAAAGAGACGGTTCAGTATATAAAGAAAAATAATTAATAAATTTTAATTTAATTCAACTTAAAATTAGTGTTGTCTTGCGGTTTTGCAAAATTTCAAAATATTTTAAGCATTACTCAATTTGAATTTTTTTTAGAAAAATAAATACATGTAAATTTTCTTCAACAAGAGATGGATTGTCGAGCAAAGGGATCATCAGGCAGTATTCCATTGAAACCATTGAGATTTCATGATGTGTACAGTAGTGGCATTGTGTCACCCAACAAGCTGGTGATGAGAAGGATGGATCAAGGATGGGGCATCACATTCAGCAACAGACCTCTAGATGTTGATGAAATCATTTGCTTAAAAATCGTGATGTTTCATAAAGGCTTTCTGAGATTTGGTCTGACCTCACAAGATCCTTCTCAGCTTGACCCACACTCTTTAGAAAAATTTAGATTTGACTCATCCAAGAGAACAATTATAAAAGAATTATCAGCGAGTTGTACTCGAAAAGATACCATGATTTTCCTTAAAATGAATGCAGCTGGTGAGGTTGTGTACAGCTGGCAAAGAAATGAAAAAAGCAAAGATAAGGGTGTGCTCTTCGGAGGCATCACTTTAGATGTGCCCTTATGGGCAGTCTTCGAAATTTCTGGTAAAAACCTGGCTGTGAAACTGGAAGGTTAGATAATAAATTGATCTGTATAGTAGATATTTCTTAAGCAAATTTTTTTTTTAAACTGATATGTTTTGTTAACAACAGAGCACTCACATAAATTTTTGTTGCAATATAAATCTCATTTGTGAAACATTTCACAACAGAATTTTAATACAAATTAATTATTCTGTGTTGAATTATACACTTTAATATAGACACTTTAACTGCTATACATAATAAACGTAATTTTATTAATATTAAACAGTGGACAATATTCCGTTGATAAGAACAAAGTCTTTCAAAAAAATTACTCATCTTAAAAAATCTAGGAGTGTGGAATATCTACAATCCTCAAGGAGCATTTTCAACATTGATCCTGCAAACATAAATGAATCATTCTCAAAATTACCTTCCAAAAGAATAAAAACACCTAAAAGTAGCGACAGATTTCCAAGAGCAAAATCATTTAGTATATCATATCCAGCAGTTTATGTTCCAATGGAAGTTAGTGATGCCGTCTCTCCAGGACCTGAGAATCACGTCGAAAATACGGCAAACTTGTTCAACATTCCATTATCCAACATTGATTTCCAAACAGAAGATTTACCAGCTTACAGTTCAAATGCAGAAAAAGCAAACAATAATCCCAACAACAAACTGTCATCAAATGAAGAATGCAAAACATCCATGTGCTTCCACCGTTCAGTTGGCAAGAACATTAGCCTCTCTTCAGATCAGATGACGGCCACAAGAACAGTTGGTAACTGCAATGGTTACATATTTACAAGAAGACCATTGGAAGCTAATGAAAAGTTTAAAATTAAGTTGCTTCAAGTCAATCCTGAAGTAGGAGGAAGTTTGGGATTTGGAGTGACTGTATGTGATCCGTCTCAAGTTTCTCACTTTCCTGACGATGCTGACCTCTTGTTGGACAGACAAGAATATTGGGTTGTCATAAAAAATCTGTATAAAAATCCAGTAGCAAATGATGAAATAAGTTTCTTGCTAACAAAAACAGGAGAGGTTGTGATGTTTAAAAATAACGTGTGTTTAAAAACGATTGTTCACGTAGACCCCACTTTGTCACTGTGGATTTTCTTTGATCTGTGTGGAAGCGTAGAGAAAATATCTAGTCAGGGTTAGGCATACATTAAATGTTTTCAATATTTTTTTAAAACAATTTTCAACAACAGTAAATCACATAATAAATAGAACTTAGTAACTGATGTTAATTAATGTGTGTCTAATGCTTCTTGGTGGTAAAGAATAAATTAAAATTAATTTAATTAAGTGCAAGCTCAAACAAATTACTATGGCTTGAACTGGTCCTGTACAAATATTTCCATTTATTTCATATTTTAACAAATTTAATCATTCAGGATCGATTATCTATAAAAATGTGCCGAAAGACTTGTTTGAGAGCAGAAAACCGCCTTCCAGGAACCTTGATAGACAACTAGGCAGGCGATCAGCTGTGGAAACACCAGCAGCATCAATGGCAGTGGCAACATCAACGACAACATCCACAACTGCAATAACACCACCAAACAGGATGACCAGACTTGACCTATCAAGACCTTCCCAGGCTTCGATGTTTAATGTACAGACTGCAGGACCATCAACAAGAGCATCATCAAATATTCTCACATTAATGTCTCCAACATCTCCATCAACAACATCAACCAATCTATTAACTTCCACAACAACAGCCTCGACAGCATCAGAAACATCTTACAATGCAAGCAGGTCAAAAAGTTTGACTGCAGAAACGGCAAACATCGCTCACCAACAAATTTTGGATTCCCCTCTTATTGGCAGAATGAACATTTACAACGATATACCTGGTTCCCTGGCTCCTCCACTCATTCCAATCCCGAGAGCCAGCATTCGGCAGAGAGGCTCTCCAAAGCCAAGTGGTTCATTGAAATCATCAACGACGCAGGTGAACTCTCTTAATGAAACGCTGCCATCTCCTGGCACACACAACATCCAATCCAATCCGTGCGTTACTTCGAACACCACACTCAACACAGAAGAAGTCGAAAAGTTACTACATGATATTTCAATATTGGGAAACAAATCTGAAACAAACAAGACGAAACCGAATTCGTCGGAACCCGAGTGCACGATATGTTTCGAAAACGTTCCTGACTGCGTCCTGTACACTTGTGGACACATCTGCTTGTGCTACGATTGTGGACAAAATATTTTGAAAACGCAAAAACCTCAATGTCCCATATGCAGAAAAAATATTACGGATATTATAAAAATTTACAAGTCATGATTTAGTTTATCACTATTGTTACAATACTTAAAAGCATTTTCACACCGTTCATGTTGTAAATATATATGCAGTATAAAGTATGCAAAAATTAAAAAAGCTACTGTCCAGTAAAAAAGTGATGTCACGACTTTCTAGCCCCCTCATTAGCCAGTCGATCTGCTTGTTCGTTGCCCTCTTCGCCTTGGTGACCCCTCACATGAACCTTCATGTTGTGTTTCAGTGTTCACATGTTCATAAATGTGCATTGTAATTTAATACAAACAAAAAGGACGAGTAACATCACTAGAAATCTAACATAATGTATTTGAATGCCCTGACTGACAACATCGAGTTCCTCCAGCTCCTCCCTGTTCACCACAGGCTTTCCTTTCGACAACATCCACCTGTTTGATTTCCATTTGTCCATCCATTTCGTTATGCCTGCCAAAAACATCAGACGTCAAATTTATATAACTTTTGTATATGAAATTTAATGTGCATAAGCAGGTGAAGAATTAATGTGGAGGATTTAAACTGAAGAAACATAAAAGTCGAGTGCGAGTTCCACAAATTTTGATGATTAATGGAATTGGCTGCAAAACAAAAGCAGACTTGATGTAACGTAATCACGTGGAGTAATGTGCTGGCATGCTACGGTGACAAGATCGTTTGCGCTTGAACAAATTTAAACTTTCATCAATACTCTGTAATTGAAGATAAATAAAAGCTTTGAGAAGGAAAAGCAAGGAGAACTATTTAATGCATTTGGTTGAAAAAAATTGAAATACACTTTGGCTTGGGTGATTAAAATTAGATAACAAAAATTGCTGGCAGACAGACATCAATGCTTTCTTTTAAAAAAACTTATCAGTATGCAACTGCCCTCTCATATTGTGTTTCTGCTGATGTGGCTACGTAGTCAAATTAGATATATTTGAATAAAAAGGTGCACTATACTATGTTGACATTAAATTTGATTCATCATTATATTACTCAGCTAAATCCGTTATCAGTTTTCGTGCGTTTAATTGAGATGGCATGTTTCTCAAGTTCTACATTTCAAGTTTGCTACTGAATGTAAAATGTCGTCTGTTGATTGAACGCAAGGAAATTAAGCTTCCTCATGCATGCATTTTAATTAATACCAGTATTAATACTTGTAAATAAAATAAGCAAATGAATTGTTGCTTGAGATGTGTTTCATTGTCTACAACCTTGCCGAGGTCCAAATTAATAACAAGATAAATCTGATCTGTTGGAATCACTTTCTTATAAAATATAAATATCAAATATTTTTGTTAACTAAGAATTTCTAATAACTTGTAAAAATATTATAAGAATTTAGAACGGAATGATGATTGTACAAAAATTAAAAACTCAAAAAGCAAAGAACAAACAATTTATTAAGAATTCGGAATCGGTCCTTATTTCCAGGCTTTTGTAATCCCTCTTCTTAGCTATCTTGATAGCACGAACCACCGCCTTTGTTGAAAAAATCATAATCAATAACAAATTTAATATAATCTTACTACATATTCTAAGCATCGTCGTTTACATTGTACATTGTTTATTAAATCATTTAATTAACATCAAAATACAACCATGGGCCACTTATAAAACAACATATACATGTATATAAAATATGCTGGGTAAAAATTCAGCTATCACAACAATTCGTCAGGCTAAATTACTCCTTATTACACAGAAGAACATCAAATAACATAAAACAAATATAAATCAAAATACTAAATGACAATTAAATCCCAAACCATGATTTCAGCCCTGTTATTAGTTTGTCTGCCAACTAATCTTTCACTAACATTGCTATAAAAATAAAATTGATGTAAATTCAGTTTTAGGTAATTCAGTAATATTTTCAAATAAACTTTAAAAAAGAAGGAAAATAAATTTAATCAAACTCTTCGTGGTCCGAAGTTCCCCAAAAAACACCGAGACCAGCTCGAGCATTACACTTTCCATTGTTGTGGCAACACCCGTCTGTGTACACAACTACTCTGTCACCTTATAATAAAAATTGCATCATTGTAAACATTACAACTCGCAACTTTACTTTAACTATCATTACCTGATTTCATCTCAACATCTTTTGTATCAAGCTTAATTCTTTTAGAATTAGATTGTGAATCACTCTGCATCGGCCTCTTGGAAGAACCAGCTAAATTTCAAATTTAAGTGTTGGGAATTTTTTTTAAGGAAAATCTGTTAAAAGGTTATGAAAAACTAGATAAGACTATTAACAATAGCAAAAACAAATTTGGAGATGTATCGATCAAACGCAATCAGGCCATACAAGTTTCCTTCAGTTATAAGTTTCAGCCATTTCAAAATTTGCAACAAACTTTGCGCTTCATTCAGAAAAGCATTTGCCTCTGCTTCAGTGGGGAACTTTTTATATTTTGCATTAGGAAATCCTTTCACTTGCTTCTCACATTCAGCCCTACAATCAGGAAACTTTATTGTATACATAGTGATAATATAAACTGTAGCACATTTAATGATTCAACATAATTATAATTTAACATGGAGTATAAATTTTCTAATTTAAATATTTGGTATAAATTTTAAAAAATTGAAAAAATGAAAAAACATTTTGAATTTGTTTTAATTTTTTTCAGAAAATTGTCAAATGAGGATATCTTTTTATACAAACACACTTAAGCCACCATAAAAATCCTAATTATCATCTTTTTCAACAGATTTCTGATCAATCAAAAGCAGAGGATTAGATTTTCATTGAACATACTTTTGATACTTTCTACTAAGCTCAGACTGCTTAACAAATCTTAAATCCAATTTTGAGCTAAGTAAAATAACTGCAGGAAGCACACACACACATTCACACGCTGAGATAAGCATACAAAAGAATACAAAAGCAGAGGGAAAACATACAAAATAAACATATAAATTCATTGTAACTTTGTTCTATATTACTAATGTGAATACATTAACAATGATACAATAATGTGTAGTATTGTACAAATTGCCAGCTATGCTACTACTACTAACTCAACATGAAAACGTTATGAAATGGAATTAACGTTTGACAATATTATCAGCTCTTTAAAAGTAGTAATTAAAAGTAAACATGTGACTTGTATGCAACTAACATTAATTATAATAAAATCTTATTTTTTTGTTCAAAAGCACCAAATTTTATAAAATGAATAAAATAAGTCCATTTTGTAAGTCTATTTTGTAAAATCATTAACAAGTTGTCACAACTAAAATATCAATCACATATGATTATTATAACTAGTTAAAAGGCAGAATATCTTCCAATTTCAAGCTTGTTTAAATGTGGAGACTTCAACTAAATTGATCATTTATAATAAAAGTTTAAGCCAGTATGTTAATAACATGCTGTTATCAACATAACACATATACATTATGTTGCATACACTCCGGATGCATATACTACTATTACTGAGAGCTTGGCAAATCATTAGATTGTGAGTTGATGCTACACAATCCCTGCTCCTCTGATCTTCTATTGATGCCCTTCTCAAACAAGCCCAGGTACTTCAGGTTTTGTGAAAATGAAATTGTGAAACAAACTTATTGACAAATTATTATTATCATAATGATAAAATTATATAGTCATATATGAACATATATGGTCATATATGATCATATATGATTAAAACATGATCATTTGCCAATTAATTAATTTTTTTATAAATTTATTAGTTTGTCTTTAACTTATTCTTCATTGTGCTGACGACGTTGGAGTTCACCAAGACTCGATTCTCAGTCCACTGTTATTTATAACTGTGATGGAAGAAATCACAAAACCGATACGCACTGGTGACATTTGGATTCTAATATATGCTGATGATATCGTTTTAACAGCCACGTCTGAGCAGAATGCAGCACAGATGTTTGAAGATTGGAACACCAGACTCGCTGATCATGGATTCAAAGTCAACATCAGCAAAACCAAAGCAATGAACACTGGTGAACCCATCCAATCCATAGCTACTGGATGATGGCCCTGTTCAGTTTGTAAAGCTGGTGTAGGTAACAATTCAATCAAGTGTCAGCAGTGTAACCAGTGGTGTCACAAACGTTGTTCAAAAATAATTGGTACTTTATCTAAAGTGTCCAATTTTGTTTGTCCTGCTTGCAAAAAAAGACCACATCAAATCTACCGAAATCCTGCGTCGTGCTGGTTTAGATGATATAAAGGCAACACCATCTGCGGTGGTTTGGTCATGTCAAACGAAGTAGAAACAGTGCCATAACTTCTCTTGCAGATGTTGAAGTACCTGGCACACGTCCCAAAGACCGTCTAAAGAAGTCCTGGTCGCAAACAATCAAGCAAGACATGAAAGCTCTAAATTTAAATGAAATGGATACAACTGATCGTCTAATTAGGCCCAAAAAGTTGATGGCAAAGAAAACAACGTCCTACTTCAGGAACCGGGTCTCTGGACACAAAACGAAGATTGATATGTATTATGTAATTTAGCATAGATTACAAAAATACTTATCGAGTTGGCATCTCTGTAGATCAGAGCTACACAAATATTTTGATCTTGCAGACTGGTTTGGGTATCTAACCATTTTCATATGCCATACATTATAATTTATAATAGGAACGAAGACCACCATCAAACAAGAAAGTTGCTAAACATTGCAACCCATGGGAAGATTGTTGTCAGTGGATGTAGACAAAGTCAAAGGTTAAAGATAAATGAGAGCAGTTTCTCTGAGCTGATATTTTTAAAGTTAGTCACTTAACTTGACAAAACAAAACCTGTTTAAAAAAAACTTGAAAATTCCCTTATAATAAATTATTTGACATTAAAATAAAAATTGAAATAAATTAATTAATTAACAAAAATTATTTATTAAACTTTTACACTTCACAGTTACACTTACTTACAGACTAACATAACTTTAACAACCTACTGTTAATATACTAGACTACTTTTTCAAAGTAAGATATCTTACTATATTTAAAATATTACTAATCATTTTAAAATTTCAACTTATATAGATACACATTATTTTATATTTTTTACAAAAAAAATTCTACACTGGTCATTATTTTAACATTTTCGCACATTTTTCAACTTTTGAAACCGAAGGCCACTTATTTTTTAATTAGTTAATTTTAATAAAAATAAATTTTACAAAGTGAAAATTGTATTTTCTACTTTAACTTTTATTTTAAATTTGAAACTTGCCATGAGGAGAAAAGTCCTTTCGTGCGGCCCACCCTTACAGCATAAATAAAACTTGGCATGGTTAAATTTTTATAAAATAATTTTCTCAAATTATACATTTAAATATCTTCTAAATTTAAAGGAACTAACCGAAAGCATGTTGAACTTTAATTTTAAAAAAAGTTTAAAAAATTATGGAAAGCCGGCGGTTAATAATATTTTAAAGCATTCGTTCTTAATTAAGACCGTACGATCATCCATGCGTACGATACCATCATACATACCATATATACAGAATTATAATATATATATTATACTATATATATATAGATAGATAGATAGATAATTCTAATTTTTCAAACAATTTGGAGTTAGACGTAAAGCAATCTAACTCCCGGTTTTTCACTTCATTTTTAAACAGAATTTGGCGTTTATTTGGTCTTTTAGTGGAGTTATTTAATTCAATTTAGAATTTTCTGTACACGTTACTATAGAAATTTTAGTTTCCGGTTTCTTCGATATTCCCGGCAACAAATCCTACCTACTTTCTAACTTACTGAGCCTTCTTACTAGCTCTTTTTCATTAGATTTCAAAAACGCCATATTTTGAAAAAAAGTACATTAAACAAAAACGAAATTTCAAGTTATCGGCCTGTGTCGAACCTTGTTTTTGTTTAGTTTTTTAGCAACTTGTCACATACTTAAACACCAATAATCTTTTTCCGGTTTACCAATCTGGTTATCGTCAGTTCCATTTGACTGAGACGCCTTCATTGGATATTTTTTCTAATTTGTATTCCTCCACAGATGCTCAGAATGTGTAGTTGCTTGCTCATATAGATACGAGCTCTGCCTTTGATTGTGTAGATTACTCATTACTTTTACGCAAGTTCCAATATTTATTTCGAGTATCGGATGTCGTTCTTTAATGGATTGAGTAATAACTTTCTAGTCGTACACAACAGATCTAACTTGACACATGTTGAAACTGTGTCATACGATGTAGAGAGTCTGTTTTCGGCCCCCTCCTGTGTTGCGTTGTACACTGCAGATGCTTTTAAAATCATTGACAAATATAGTTTCAAAGACTCAGATCACGTCTCTCGGAAATTAATAAGTAGATGATGGCAAGTAGGCTTAAATTGAATTAAACCCAGTTTTTAAAGATCGGCACTAGGCAGCAACTGAAAAAATGAACATTGAGTCTTTAAGACTTGGCGATTCATTAAATTTTGCACAACTGCACACAAACCGGGAATTGTTTTTGGTAATAACATGTCTTTTAATTTTCATACTGGGGCAGGTTCGAAAGAACAATCTGGACAATTGCTTAAGCTCATCAAACGATCTTTAAACAAGCACATTCTTCAAAGTTTTGTTCATTCCTTTATCCATTCAAAAATATGCTATTGCAATAGTCTATATTACGCCTGTCTGGTGTAAATATGGCTAAACTAGTCTGTTCAAAATTGAGCTGCAAGGATGGTTTCAGGTGGCCTTAAATAAGACTACGTTGAGCCAATTTTTTTGCTCTTCACTGGTTTGCGGTTTATCAGCTATTTTCAAGATTATGTTTAACGGTTTAATCCATTAAGGGGGTCGCCCCTAAATATTTAACTGACAGAATCATTCCCAGAACAGTGCCACCGCTGAGTCAAACAGCGCGCTCTGCAATAATCGTTAGCGCCTCTGAGATCTTTTTAAAGAGTGCATACAAGCACCAATAATAATAATAACTCTACTGCCGAAACCATATAAACGCAAGTTTGGTACGGTATTTGCGGCGACAGCATGCGAGTCATATTTTTTATTAAAATATGCTAAAAATACAAAACAATTTTTTAAAATGTTCAAGATCCTTTATCAGTGCTTAAAGATGTATCAATCGACCGTTCTGTTTTTTCAAGAATGGCAGAGGATTCATCACCTAAATTTAGATTGGCATTTGTCTTTTGTTTTTTTTCATCGGGTTCAACGGTTTGTGGACCGTTATTGCACGGTTCCTTCAAGTTATTCTTGGCTTCTACAAGTGGTAGAGTGTTGTACAAGTGTCCTGTTATGTAATCAAAATGGTGGAGATGCAGGGTGCCCAACCATTTCATCATAGTGATTGATCAGTTAAAGAAAATCAAATATTTAATTTAAGTTTATGTTGAGCAAGTAATGATTTGAATGGTTTAAACATGCTGAACCTATATATGTTTTTCAAAAAAATCAACAAAAGGATATGATTTTTCTTCTTTTTCTGTTTGAAAAATTGTGGAATATATAAAATTCTCTTTGAATTCCTCAATTTCTTCCTGAAACCATTATATATATCTATATATAATATATATATACATATATAAATATACACACACACATATATACATATATATATGTGTGTGTGTGTGAGTGTGTGTGTGGTGAGTGTGTGTGTGTATGTGTGTGTGTGTGGTGAAAGTGTGTGTGAGTGTGTGTGTGTGTATGTATGCGTTGTGTGGCAAAGAAATATAAAGATGTGAATATAAAAAAAAAACGTGAAGTATCAGAACTTTGTACTGGCTCCATTCAATTGCTTCGTGCATTCCATCTGTCCCAAACTTCTTGTTGTAAGCATTGTAATGCAGTTGATCCAACACAAGACCCAAGCCTGGCGCTTTAGGAATGTCAACCTGGTTTTGATGTTCGAATTATAAAACAATAAAAAAAATTAATCCTTTTCATTTGCTTATACCAACTTTGTCAGCCCCCCAACTTTTCTTTAAAATGTCCATATTTACAAAAGATCTGCAAATGGCCATTGCAATACCTGAAGAAAATTTGATAATTAAACGATGACTAAAAACATAACTGATTCTCTTGTCCTTATCACCAAACGTGAAATTATAAACATATTGCAGGCCACTACAGACGCCAAATAGTTGAAGCATCATGGCATTCCATGCAGCCCTACAAATCCCGTTATGATGCAACCTACTCATGGCGTCGAACACTTTCTTGGTGAAAATGCCTCGTCCTCCAGACACAAAGCGGACATGATTGAATGAACCAAGAGAAAACTTTACAGATTAACGACGAGAAAATAAAGAAGTAACAAAAACTGATGATGAACAAAATTTTGTGGTTGTAAAATGGGACACGGTGAAGCGTGATACGTAAATGAACCTTGTAAATGTATTTTGAAGCATATACATTAAACTGATCAGAAATGCTTTTCGAGAGTTTGGAAAAATGTATTTAAAAATATTTTCCTGCATGCAGAAATTTTTGACAGAGCGTTTTTCTGATATTTGCCACTTACCACAAAGTACACCAATTTACACACATACACACACATACACACACAAACACACCTGTCATCTTGCGTATTTGATGCAGCATGAAGCTCTGCCCCTTCACTGTCAATTTAACATACTCGATGTCGTCGCGAATGAATGGATCGCCCACCTGATTTGTATGTATTGTATTGGTCAGTCAAACTATTCAGAAAAAAAAGGAAAAATTTTTAGGCCAAACTTGATGCAATGAACAATAACACAATTGTTTAAAAAGAACAAAAAATAGATTATGGTGACAAAAAACAAATTAATTCCTTCAGACATTTTAAATGAACGAATGACTTGAAAATGAAAAAATAAAAATTAAGAAAGAAATAATCAAAAGCATACAAATCCGTTGTTTTTCAAGCAAAATTTCGGTACAACATTAGAAGAAATTTAGAAAAAGTTGTGCAACGCGCGCATATTGTCGAGGCAGAACGTCAAACCAGGGTTACAGTGAATTCATCCGTTGCGACTGACCAACAAGCTGAAGACAAGAAACAAAGAGGCAATTTTCAGAGTAAACTTCTAACAGATGATCTTAAAACTGCCGCAAAGGAATTGAAAGAAAATGAAGATAGTCGTTCGCCGTGCAGGCAAGTCGAATCAATTTGCATGATAAGTTTGGATAACAACAGCTCCATTAAATTTTCATGATGAACTTGAATAATAATTCTATTTTCAATAAATTGAACAATTTCCAGGAAATTCTAGTAAGGAAAATTGAAAAGACAAACTTTAAATCGATTAATGCCAACAATTCGGTAAAATTCATACAATACTGTAATTAAATAACGGCATATGTACTTTGAACTCCATAATGTATCGCTGTGCACTTGCATCTCCAGATTTTCTAAAACAATCACCATAACGACCGTAATAGCAACAATTATTTTGAATCATCAATTTGAATACAATGATCAACTAATAGATGAAATATACAAAAAGTGCAAAATGTTTATTTGACAAAATTCAGGATTAAAATGGTGAAGAAATACAATGACAGTTTGTTGATGTGGATGAAGATGAATACTGATAACGTTGGTGAGGATAATGATAGTGATATTAATGACGTTGATGACGATGGTGTTGATGATAATGACATTAACAACAACGATGATGTGAGTGAGGACCCACTTTCCTGATGTGAAGTTATGGAAGTTGTGAGTTCCGCAGAAACAGTTCAATATGTCTTGCAGATGAGTGAGCACATCCTCTAAACACGTTAAAATCATTAAAAAAATAATTTGAAGTTGGAAGGATTAGAAATTTTTGTTTGTGCATATTCCAGATTGTGCTTGCGAAAATACAATATAATGATAATTTGTAATTACAAAAATATTCAATCATAAGCCCATTACACCAAATCAACTGACTTGTTATTCTGTAACTCTCACAAACAGTCTGAAAAAACAATAGAAAACTCATTTTGTAACTGCTTAAATTGCTATAAAATAGTTATCCAATAGGAAATAAATCATTGGCAAACGAAGCAGGTGAATATTGCTGAAACCTCATTCATAGGAGCAAATGCGAAGGAAGGAGTCAGATAGGTGTACGTACGAGCAGTGCACGAGTTTTTGCAATCGAACGTCTTCGTCGTCCTTTTTATACCTTCAAGTGTAAGGATTTTACTTGTGAAACAAAAAATAGGAACATAATACAAGTGATAATAATAATAATTATAATAATATAATTAACCAGCTATGCTTAGAATAAACAAGAATTTAAAAAAAAACTGCAACATCTATCAATCTTTTAAATTCTACTACCAATCAAACAAACGGTGAAGCTTGTTGTTGAAAATGAATTTGATGAGAAAATGAATCGAACGACTCGCATCAAACCTCATGCGGGCCTACTGAATTGCTTGGGCCACTTCAATCCTTAATGCTCATTTAATGCAGCATTAAAATGTATGAAATAATATATCAAAGTTTGAAGGAGGTGAAGACAAAGGAAATTTGAATGAAACATTCAACATTTTTAATTGCATAGAATCATAATTCTGTTAAATTATATTTATATTACCATAATTGGCTTGATATGATAAAATTTATGCAAATATATTAAACAATTAAAAATCTAATTAGAAATAAAAACAACAACAACACAGGTTTAGACGACATTTTTTCTGACGCCATTCACATCTGTCACTCGCCTCAGTATCACGCAACCCCGCTTTCACTCTGTCCTTCTCCACCTGCTCTCTCGACCCCTTCCTATCACTCCTTCAACCTCGAACTCCAACGCTCGCCTAACCCCGACCCTTTCATCCGTAAACATATATCTCAACATATGTCCATACCACCGCAATCTCGACTTCCTTATCAATGTCACAATGTCCTAATTCAGTCCCATCATCGACATCAACTCTGTACTACTCCTCCTATCCTTCACTTTAGCCCCACACATTATCCTCACCATAGCTCTTTCAGCCCTCTGCAGTACACTTTCCTCCTCTCTCCTCAACACCCAAGTTTCACCACCATATACCATCGCTGCTCTCACACATGCTTTATATACCCTCCCTTTCATCTTCACTGACCATTTCTTTCCACACAATACCCCACCCAGTTCCCTAAATTTCATTCATCCCACATGAACTCTTGCAGTAACAGCGCTCAAACATCCTCCATCCACGTTCAGCTTAACCCCTAAATAAACAAAGCTTTTCACTCTTTCAATACCACCACTCAACCCCGTCCTTGCGTCCGTCTTATTAATCACACCATGAACACATTTCTTACATTTGAACGTGCCTTCCACCTTTTACAGTGCCCCCCTCACACCACTACATCTCTTATGCACCCACTTCTGACATCCTATACACAATACCGAGTTAGCCTTCACTCTCCTGTCACATACCCCACAGGGGTCTATTTTACTTATCACTTGTTCCCCACCTTCCCCACTCACCATTGCCTTCGTCTGATCAATATTAACTTTTAACCCTTTCTTTTCAATAACACTTTTCCATCTGTCAAATTTTAACTGCAATTCTTCCCTGCTATTAGCCATCAAGACTAAATCATCTGCATACAAAATCTCAAACAACAACCCCTCCATTATGTTTCCACACACAACATCCATCACAATTGCAAACAAAAACGGTGATCCCTCTTCCGACCCTCACCTTTGTCTTCGCCCCTTCATACAGCTGCATCACGGCTTTAACAAGTCTCTCATTCACTCTTTTCTTCCTCAACGCCCATTCAATGACCTTCCTCGGTACTCGATCAAAAGCCTTTTCTAGATCCGCAAAACACATGTACAATCTTCGTTTCTTTCTATAATTCTCCTGCAACATTCTCACCATGAACAACGCATCCACCGTTCCCCTACCCACACTGCATTTCATTAACTGTCACCATATTTCTCAACTTCTTATCAAGCACCCTCTCCACTACCTTCATTCCATGCTCTAACAATTTCACACCCCTATATGACCCCCAATCTCTCACATCTTCTTTGCCCTTATACAACGGCACCAACACACTGTGTCGCCAATTCTTAGGTATACTTTCATCATCAAACATACTGTTAGCAATTCTCATCATAACTTCAATTCCTATCACCCCACTCGCCTTTATTTGTTCCGCTGCCACTTGCCAGATCCATCCCAAACATATCCATTCCCTATAACATCTCTCCTATCCCTCATTGACTGCTTTGCTACTTGGAACATTTTCCTCGAACTCACATCAAATTCCATTTCCCTCATTAACCTATCTGATGCTTTCGTCATTGCAGTTGCCACTGCCCGTTTTGCAACCTTCTTAGCCTTCCTATACTCAAACTCCGCTTCCCCCGTCATGTTCCTTCTCCACACCCTAAACCTCTCCTTCTTGACCTCCAAAACCTTTTTTATATCTTCATCCCACCACCACGTCTCACCATGCCTACACTTTCCTTTCGTCCATCCACATACTTTATCTGCCGTAGCCAACACAGTCCCTATAACTCTCCCAAACATCTCCATCCTTACCACTCTCCCAACTTTCAGCCACCTTCACTTCAAATGCCTTGTTGTTGTTGTTGTTGCCCCTTCACGACCACCTATCCATTGGTCAGGCGAAGCCTGAGCCAATCAGCAACCGCGGTTGGGTTTTGCCACAGGTATATTGTCTTGAGATTCGTAGGATTGGCAAGACAGGAGAAGAGATGAGCTACGTCGTCTACGTGCGTGTGACAGTGAGGACACATATTACCTGTGCCGCTATCAATAATTTCCTTGAAACTGCCTAAGATGATACTGTGGCCAGATTGGAGTTGGGCCAGAGTTCTTCTTATTGCCCGAGGCAGAGATTCCTCTGAGCTGTCTATTTGTGGTTGTGGAGGGGGCCATCCGTTAAGCAGGATCGACGGGTTCTGATTATGTCTGGCTTGATAGTTGAATGATTTTCACATAGTCGTAAAACAGTATCTTTGTCATTGATTTTAGGTTGTAGTTCTAAGCCAAAAATAATAACATTGTTAGCTCGTCAACATCAGACTTACCTGGCTTCAGAAGAGGGATGATCCGGGCCTTCTTATAGATGTCTGGAATACAGCAGGATCTGAGTGACTCATTAAAGATCCTGGTTAAGAACGCCAGACCCAAAGGACCTAAGTTTTTTAGGTGAAGCATGGTGATGTTGTCTGGGCCAGAGGCTTTGGATGCCTTGGCCGTTTTGATGGCGGCGGACACCTGATCCACCGTGAATGTAGGGTGATTGGATAGGCAATTCCGTTTTTCCACACGGTTGATGGACCTGTTTAGTTTATTTGTTTTATGCTGACTAAAGCAGGTAAAGGATTTATTGAAAAGGTTGACCATATCAAGCCCATTTGAGATTGGCTTACCGTTGAAGTTAATGGCGTTGTTGGGATTGAGTTTGGGTCTGCCGTTGAGAGACTTGATGACGCTCCAAAGACGTTTAGGGTTGGTATGTCGGTTGAAAGTGCTTAAGAAGTCCTTCTATTTTGTTGTTTTGATACTATTGATTTTGTTGTGAATGTCATTTGAAAGAGTTGAGATATTGTCGGATGATGGGTTGAAGAGCCTAAGAGCATCTCTTCGGCGAATCAGCTCGGTGACTTCCTTCGAGAGCCCTGGCTGGGAATTGATGAGCCTACCAGAAGGAATGTTGTGGTCACCGGCGTTGCCTAAGATCCTGCGGAACGCTCTTTCGGCTGCGGTGACAGTGTTGGGGAAAGAGTGTATTTTGAAATGCAAGTTCTGATTCAGCTGTAAAACCCGGTCAGTTGGCTTTTGAAAGGTTGATAAACGTCAATTTTGGGTTTTTGGTTGGAGTAATGCGGAGGTCGAGAGATATATGAATTGGCAGGTGGTTTGAAGAAAGAGTTGTGACTGCTGACCAATTAAGGCAGTTAGTCAAAGAGATAGAGGCAATAGAAAGATCTGGAGAAGTTGGCTGACCATTAGATGGAAGCCTGGTTGGACAGTCAAGATTTAAAGTACAGCAGTCGGAATCGTCTATTTCCGAAGTGCATCGCTAATACCTGAGTACCAGAGGCCATCATGAGCATTTAGATCGCCAAGTAGAATGATGTTAGGGAATTCCAATAAGTCTGCTATTGAAGCGCAGAAATGAGGTGGGCAAGCAGATTGAGGAGGGATATATACGTTCACTATATTTATCTCGATGCCATCAGCCATGATGGTGATCCCCTGGCTCTCTGTGGTATCTGTATCAGGTAGCTGTTTACTGGTGTAAGGGATCTTATGATGTATCAGCATCATGAGGCCGTCGCCACGACCACTTTTCCGGTCTTTCCGGTATATAGCATAATTCTTGAAAACCGGAACAGCAGAGCGAGTTGAAAGTTTCGTCTCCTGGAGGGCGGCGATTGAGATATTGTGTATTCTTGAGACCGTTGCAGTTGAATTGAAGGATATTCAGCTTGCCGTCCGAATGCGAGATTGGATTGAAGTTGGGTGTTGCAGATGTTTTATTGCGGATGATGGGACGATTGGGTTGCGCACCACGCACCGGCGAGCTGGGAATTGTAGTAGGGTGAGGACAGTTATTACAGAGATAATAACTTACTAAGTTAGTGGCGCAGTTGTTGAGGTGTGTCCACTTGCAGCATGTTCTGCAGCGGACAGAGTAGTGGGTTTTGTTGACACGTTTGTTACATATCTCACAGATCCATATCTTCGGACCTGGGTTGGATTCGATGCCGGCCCGCAGTAATAGCATACGGTGCAGGCCGGCCGGCGAGGACTGCTACCCAGGCAAAAACTCAGAACGGTGAAGTCGTGTTGGGGAGGGCTTGCTGCAACGATTTGTTGACGAGGAGGAGAGGAGCAATCCTGACCACGACGCCAATCGGTTTCACCACAAGAAGGCCGTTGCTCCAGAACCTCCAGGTTCTTTAAATGCCTTCCTCACCTCTGCATCCTGTAACTTCCATGTCTTTCTCTTTGCCACAAACTTATCCTTCTTCCTCCTCCTCATTTCTTTTGATGCCACATCCATCACAACCATGCAATTAGAAATAAAAAATTAATGAAAGTTTTTTTGAAGTAATGGAATTGATAAATGGAGAAATGACGATGCAGTGAAATATGGAATGCAGTCAATCTTCCGTGAATTCGAACACGCGAGTTAGCAAAATGATAGTAACAGCAATATAGCATCATTAAACTTAAAATCTGGATGTCGCAATATCTAGAACATGTGCAACGTGAAGTGACTGGTCATAATAAAAAAATGCCACTTTTGTGTTGCCACGGACTCAAGTGGTGATATTTGTTATTCTAAAAACCTGGAAGTTTATAAGAACTCCAATTGGCACGATAATTTGAAATACCTCAATGCAACTGAAGCAGATAAGAAAGATAGCGATTTCAATAAGAATGAAACGAACCCAGGACGTGAATTTGTGCAGGCAGGTGGCTGTTGATCTTCCCCACGGCGTCCTCTACGTCAACAAACATGTAAAGTAGGAAACAAATTAAAACATAAATACCTATGATGATACAATAACAGGAAGTTCTTGCAGTGTGAACGATACAATAGATAGAAATGTAAATTGCAAGTAAGATATGCACAGTAGAAATTAGATAAATTTTACGAAATGATATAAATGAGATGCGTATCTTGAATGAGACTACTTGTCCGGCTGCAGACACTCCCTTGTCAGTGCGGGCTGCCCTTTGGAAGGACATCTGTAATGGTGTCCATCAAAACATAAATCAATAAGCAATCATAAATTTGGAATTGAATTGGGAAATGACCTTTGAACGTGGCTCTTCAATGTGGTCGGGGCGCACAACTCCTGCCTTTAACAGAGCATCAAAAAGTTCCGATTCAATTGTTCTGAATCCTGGGTTCCTGATTAAATAACATTCTACAATTGAATACTGACATGTGGTTTACAATTTTTCAATATATTTTTATTTAGTTCATCGGCAATCAGGGAAAAAGCAAAAAAAATTTTAGTTTTTAATAGCTATTGCATAAACATTGGAAGACAAGGATAATCAAAAAATTTTTGCCAGGGAAATGTAAAACTGAGAGAAAGAAATACAAATTCACCTCTGCATGCCAAGGTAACCCTTGCCAGAATAAACAAGCAGCAGAGCAACCTTCTTCTTTCTGAAGGGCCAGTCCTTGAAATAATTTTTACATCAATAGAGACATCATAAACATCACCAAGAGAAATATTAAAAATAATTTTTAATTAAATAAAACAATTTTCATAAAATAATATTGCAAGAAAATCTTGTGAACTGTAACTGAAAGAATGGAATCACTTGAAAAATAAATAATTATTATTATTTTAGTCTCTACTTTGTATGATCATAGGTATGTCTCTGTGTTCCAATGTCGACAAGCAATAAATAATTAATTTAAATACCAGAAAATGATATTTAAACAAAAAAATTAACTTTTATAAATTACACATTATCCTTAAAAATGTCCCAATAAAATTAGACATGATGCAAGTATAAATAAAACATTTGTGAACATCTCATCATAAAGATATAATGATGAACGGCTATGAACACAACGACAAACAGCCAAACATACTTGTTCCCCATCAACTTTAGGTTTCTTGCCTTGTGTCTCATCGTTACCATCATAGTCCTGTTTGTGCTTCCAAGTTGTTTTCTGCTTTTTCATACTTTTTTTAGATTTAGGAACAGTGTTTGGATTGTCCAGTGCGTTTTCCATATTGAGATTAAGTTTTGAGATCGACAAACTGAATTTGTTGAAAATTTTTTTCACCACATCAAAGCTCCACTTCAGTGACATCAACCTTCACTCAAAAAATTGAAATACTTAATAACAAACTTAAAAGAAAGATGTGAACCTAAAATAAATATGCACCCATATGGCGTGTTGCTCTATATATGTATGTATTATATATCAATCCTCGTTTATAGTCTCTATCAGTTATGGGTCGGACTATGATTGTATTATATAGAGAGGGTAAGAGTTTATTGATCTGCCACCGCAGGTACGGCCGGCCAGTAGAATTACACAATGTACATTAACTCTCAGTATATACATAGTAGACCATACTGTAGTAGCAAATTAAGAAACCCTCACCCATACATATAGAGTGGGTATATGTAAAATGAAACATACATAATACTTTGGTTAAGAATATTGTGTGTACTATTTAAAAAAACTATTGCACTTCTAGCGTAATTTAATTTATAACTCGATGTTTCAATTCTTCAAATGAGAGTTATTTTCCTTAACTTGTTTCAGTTATGATCACATTTTCATGATAATTTGTGAGATTTAATGAATCACACACAACAATCTTTATTTATTAACAACTAAGTAAGATTAGTTAAATTACCAAATGAATAAAAACTTATATTTTAGTTTAGTTTTATTATTATTTTTTTAGCAACGCCTAATAAAAAGCATCCTAATAAATTTTATTGAGACAAGTATTAAGACAAGTAACATTACAGATAGCATAAGAAGACATGTCTCAGCCAAAAGCAAAAGCAACCATCACAACTTTCATCCTACTTATTAGTGCTACGGCAATCGTTGTTTCGTGCCCAACGCAGTTAATTATGCATGACCCTATGATATGATATTATGATGGCAATAAAAAAGTTAATTAGCTAGTGAGGTTAGGTGCCACTGTTACTTTTTTAACTTTTATATTCATATTATTATTGTGATTGCAACACACGATAAATTAGATAGAGACTAGCTATACTTACCAAACCTCTGCAACAAATTATTTATAAATAAATTAAAATTCAATTTGATAAGAAATTAACGATAAACAGGGTTGAAAACAAAATAGGATAGTGAAGTACCCCACGCAAATGAAAAATGTTATTATTATAAATAGGTCAAATAACAACGAACTAAAAATGCCTAAAAATGAACTAAAACTGGTTAGTAACTTTACTTGCACTATATAATTTAAATATTTATATATTCAATTATGATGAATGTATACACACACACACACACACACACACACACACATATATATATATATATATATATATATATATATATATATATATATATATATATATATATATATATATATATATATATATATATATATATATATATATTATGAAGCGCTAATTAAACGAATCTCAAAAGCGCTAACAAAAACTAAACTTAACAACATAATTGAAATAACAAACAAGAAATCATAATACATCGCACAGAGATAAAATTAAAATTTGGTCATAAACAGAAAAGTAATCGATTCAATATAACGAAAATACGAAATAATAATTAGAACATGTCGATGTCGACTAAACAGAAAGAATTGATCAATAATGCATTACAATAAAAATAAATGAGTTTTCAGTTTTTTCTTGAAATCACGCAGGTTTAAGTCCGGATTTCTGAGAGCAGCAGGCAGGTTGTTCCAAACAGTTAGTCCAGAAACAGCAATGTTACGAGAGCCTATACGGAGACTCGTTGTTGGGATCAACAGCAGGTTTGAAACATCGGATCTCAAGTGTGTTCCAGTGTGTTGAAAATCTCTTTTTGAACCTGTCAGACAAATAAAATGGAGCTAGACCGTTGATAGACTTGTAGACAAGTGTTGAAATTTTGAACAACACTCTTTTGTCGACGGTTAGCCAATAAAGTTCCTTCAACATTGGAGACACATGATCGTATTTTAGAGCTCCAACAACAACTTTTGCGACTCGATTCTGTATTGATTGAAGTACAGCCATAGATCGATCAGGTAAGTCATAAAACAAACTGTTGCAATAGTCGACGCGTGAGTGCACAAATGCATGAACCAACGTCTGCAACGTGGATGTATCTAGGGATCGTCGAATTTGATTGATTTTCCTGATTTGAAACATGCATTCGGCTGAGAGCTTTTTAATGTGTTGCTTCATTGACAAACCTGAATCAATCGTGAAGCCCAGATTAGCTGCTGTCTGACAAAATGGGATGACCTCATCATTAACAGTTATTGAATTTATATCTATTCTTGAAAGTTTATATCCATGCTCAAATTGGTAAAAAAAACAGTCTTGTTTTGGTTTAGTTTTAAACCATTGTTTTGCATCCACTTATTGACCCCAGACAAACATTTAACCAGTTTGTCCAATTCTGATTTAAAAGAATCTGGCCTGCTCGTAACAATAATTTGCAAGTCGTCCGCAAAAGCATGACCTAAAAAACCAAATGATTCTATTATCTTTAGTACTTCAGATGTATAGATCAGGAATAGAATAGGACCTAGAACCGAACCTTGTGGCACACCAGACAGCATAACATTAACCTCAGACAATTTACCACCGAATGATACCTGTTGTGATCTACCTACCAGATACGACTCAAACCACCTCAGAACAGCACCAAAGATTCCAAAACTGCAACGTAGTCTTGTTAAAAATACTTTGTGATCTACGCAATCAAATGCGGATGACATATCAAGAAAAACTAGCATTGCCACATTTTGTTCATCAATTGCCCCGTACACTTCTGAGAAAACTTGCAAAAGTTTGGTACTGACGGAATCCAGATTGATATTTCGGCAATAAATTGTTATTGTTTAAGTAACTGAGTGTTTGCCTGGCAACCACACGTTCGATAATTTTGGATAGGAAAGACAGATTAGAAATTGGTCTGTAGTTCCCAACATCATTTTAATCTAGATTATGTTTCTTCAGCAGCGAAGTTATGATAGCATGCTTGCAGCCAGAAGGAAACTGTCCCACATTTAAACTGCTGTTTATCAGGCCTGCCAAAAATGGTGCGAATAGTTTTATAAACTTCTTTAATACGTGGGTAGGTATTACATCTTGTTGACGCGACTTTGTAGGTGAATTTTGAACTAATTGTATTACCTCCTCTTCAGAAACCATAGAAAACGTTGAGAACAAACTATTATTGACACCTGATTGGAATTCTGCCAGGCTCGGTTGAGCATCGTTGTTGACACTATCTCTCAGCTTGCTTAACTTTTCATTGAAATAGCACATAAATCGATCAGGTGTTAGTTCATCCATATCCGAGAAAAATTTATCGTTACGACCCCTACAGAGAATGCTGTTCACAACCCGCCAAAGATTTTTTGGTTTCATCTTATTGTCATCAACAATTTTTGTCCAATACTGACGACGTTTTTTAGAGAAAAGTTCCGATTTATTCTTCAAAGCTGTCTTCCATTCATCTTGATGAATCAACTGTGAGCTTTTTCTGTATCTTCTTTCCATTTTTATGCACAAACGCTTGGCCAACCTGCAATCATTATCAAACCACAGAGCCATACGAACGTTATTGGTGGTCACTGCACGAATAGGGACAACTTTATCAGCAATAGATTTTAACTCGTTGTTAAATAAATGCAATTCCTTGTCTACCTCATTGCTTTGACATGCTTTGGAGAGTGGAGATTCAAGCACGAGTTTGATGAAGTCATCAACATTCATCTGATTCCACATTTTAGAAACTTTTTTAATTCCAACCAAATATCCTCGAGTCATCGACAGTTCAGCCCAAATAAAACTATGATCAGAATAAATTCCACTTGGATGGACTAAACAATCATGAACTGGAAAATCCTCGGAGGTTACTATCAAGTCTAGTGTACCACCACGTAAATGTGTTGGTGCTTTTACACGATTGATGAGTTGAAAATTATCGAAGATATCAATTAAATTAGCAGCATAAGGATCATTCGTCTTTTCAACGTGCACATTGAAGTCCCCGGTTAAAATAATTTGAGAACTGAGTACTGTAATGTTTTCCAGAATAGAAATCAGTTCTTTAAAAAATAATCCAGACAGCTGTGCAGAACCCGGTCTGTAAATAGTAGGGATGCACCGGATTTAGGTTTTTCAAATCCGGCCGGGGCCGGACTTGGCCGGATTTAAAATTCAAAAACCGGCCGGGGCCGGATTTTAGTTACTATTTTACATACGTTAGAAAAAATACTCACATTTACGGTTATCTACATGTTGAACACCAAAAAATAACACAAAGCATAAAGTATTGATTGTTTTTTATTGAAAAAATTGCAGTGTACAAAAAAAGTTTATTATTTCACATGTAAATAGTTAAATAAGAGAAGCATTGTATTTTAAGAATATCAGTTTCTCAGCGTTGTCAGGGAGCAGTCTTGTGCGATGCTCAGTGATGATGTCTCCAGCCGTGCTAAACAATCTTTCGGATGGTACACTTGTTGGTGGAAGTGCTAGGTAAACTTGTGCAACCTTTGATATGGTTGGATACTTTGTAGTGTTAAACTTCCACCATGTAGCTGGGTCTTCCTGTCGCTGTAACAATGGTTCTCCCAAGAAAGTCGAGAGTTCATCACTGATGCTATCTTGAAGTGATCTGTTGTTAGAAATACTCGTTACTTCATTTTCCAACATATCTTTGAAACAGTCCCACAATTTTGAAGATGATTCATCAACACGTCTTTTTTTTGTTGGCTTTTGGGATTGCACATCCTCTGATGTAGACTCTAATTCTTTGTTATTTTGAGGTAACAATTTAGTGGCAGCAAGCACAACTCCTGCCTTTGCTTCGGTACAAGCTGTATCGTTCAAGAAGCGGGTCTTAAACCTTGGATCAAGCATTGTGGCTACACTGTAAACTCGGTCATTTATAATGTTTTGGAACCTGGTGTTGATAGCATTCAGCAGTGTGACCTTCATTGTTTTAATGCCAGCATCCCGACTTTCTTTTCCCAAAACTAATACCAAAAGATACACCATTGAAATAACCAAAGATATAGATGCTGATGATGAGCTAACTTCTCTGGTAACCTCCTCGAATGGTTCCAAAACCGCAGCAACAGTTTCAGCAACAGACCATTGATTTGGTGACAAATTAGTAACAGATTCATTTTCAGCACAGTACAATGTTATTGCTCGACGTTGCTCTAACAGTCGCTGCACCATGAAGAATGTTGAATTCCACCTTGTGGGGATGTCCTGAATTAACTGGTGTTTTGGCAGATTTAAATCCGCTTGCAAATTGTGCAAACGATCCGTGGCTGATGACGAGTATTTGAAATGGCCTACTAATTTATGTCCAACTTTCAGGAGATCACTAACACCACGTTGACTTAATATACCATCGTTGATACAGAGTTGAACCGTGTGGGCAAAACAAGGTGCACTTTTAATGTTTCCATCTCGGAAACATTTGGTAATATTTACCGCATTGTCTCGCAAAACTAAATGACATTTGTTTCGTGGAATGTTCCAATTTTCGAGTGACCTATCAAACGATGACAGTAGATTTGCTGCTGTGTGTTGACCTGAATATTTTACACACTGCAAAACATAACTTTGGCGTTCGAACGTAGGAGTTAACCAATGGGCTGTCAATCCCAAATATGACTCCGTTGTTATGTCTGCTGTCCATGTATCTGTTGTAAACGGAAGGCTCAATGCTCCAGCTACCTTCTTCTTCAGTGATGAAGATGCTTTTTCAAAAAGATCAGGAATTACACGTTTGGTGAAATACTTTCGAGAAGGTATTCTGTACCTTTTCTCCAAGTTTTTTCACCAAATTGATAAATCCTGATTTTTCGACGACCTGGTAAGGCTCCATATCTATCGCTATCATTTTAGCAATCGCCACATAGATACGCTTAGCATTGTCATTGTTTATATCCCAAGGTTTTTGTTTGTCAAATGCTTCTCTAATCTTTGGCTGGGTGGGCTGGATTGATACATTTTCTAGCAAACTCGCATCACTGTCATTTGAGGTGGCATCTTCGCATTCTGAGGCTACTGCAATAGAAGACTTTAAACTGTTCATATTATCATACTGAAGTGGATGCTTTGACCTTAGATGAGTAATCAAAGAAGACGTTGAGAAACTTTTGGGGTTATCAGGCTTACCCTAGGTTATCAGGCTGACAATACTGCATTGCATTCCTTACAAACTGCCTTGGATTTATCGTTTGTTTTAACGTCAAAAAACGCCCATACTCCGGATTTCTTTTCAGCCATTTTTATAAAATTCACCAATAATAAAAAATGCTTAATAAATATATTGTTCTTAAATTATGCGCTTTATAGCTGCATCATCGTCATATACTATTATATATAAGTGCACAATTTCTTGTAAACAAAGATCAGCTTATAATTTATGCATAACCCATGTTATAGCACAAAGAAAATTGTCCAGCTCAGCTCACAATTAGTGATGCTGTTATTATGTGCCATGCATGCACGTGCACAAGTTCTTTTACACAAAGATCAACTTATATTGTATGCATAACCCAAGTTAAAGCACAAAGAAAATTGTCCAGCTCAGCTCACAATTAGTGATGTTGTTATTATGTGCCATATAAGCCTAGCCTAACCTTTAACATACCATGTTCTTAAATTATATATATTATATAGCTATATCATCCGTAATATACAATTATGTAGTATATATCACGTGCACAAGTTCTTTTGCACAAAGATCAGCTTATAATTTATGCATAACCCATGTTATAGCACAAAGAAAATTGTCCAGCTCACTTCACAATTATTGATGTTGTTATTATGTGTCATGTATGCTTAGCCTTTAACTTATTGACATAAAATTAATCGAATTCAATAAAAAATTTTTTTTTCAATTTATAAAATTTTTAAATGTTGATAGACGCTTAAATCCGGCCCTAAATCTGGCCACCAGGGGCCGGATTTGGCCGGATTTGAAAAAAAGGCCGGATTTTGGCCGGGGCCGAACTTCGGTGCATCCCTAGTAAATAGCGAGCAAAATAAACTCCTGACTATTAACTGTGAACCTGACCGCCAAAACTTCAAATGTGGTAACTGTAGGTAAGGCTATTTTTTTACATTTTAAACATAGACAAAAAAATATTATCAATCCACCATGGAGAGGGTCGTGATCTCTTACACAATTTACAAAGCGGTATCCAGGAGGAGTAGATAACGCAATGGAGGGATTTTCTGATGAACCATGCCATGATTCAGTAACAACAAAAATATCCGAACCATCACTGATCAAATCATAAATAATGTTGTACTTTAAGCCAATCGATCTTATATTTAGTAAACCCAATTTTATTTTAACCACACAAAAGTTATTATTAGTTCGATCATTTTTAATTCCACCAATATTTCTACCAACAGCACCACCTTTCATTACATTGTTATTAACTACTTTTTTAAAATTATTAAAACCACCACTTTCATTACGATCATTACCGGTACCATAATTTATTATGCAATCATTACCATAATCTTTACCACAACTATTTTTACCAATAACATACCGGAAATTTCACCACCCTCCATTTGCCAACCTGACCTCTTACACGGTATTAAAAAAACCCTTGTCAGAAGCTTCCAATGCCCTTGCCTCCTCTATCTTTGACCTCAGTTTCTTTCTTTGCTCTGGGGAGAGATCATGACTGAGTCCGATGCGACCCAGGCTGACGTCAAGCGATTTTAATTTAGAGACGTTTTTAATTATCATGTTTTTTATGTCAACACTATCCATTTTCAAAAGCAGCGGTCGGTTATGATCGTCTGATTATATATATATACATACATACATATATATATCTATTTCCGCGATGTTCAACAGCGTTCCTTAATGAATTTTGAAAACAGATGGGTCTTGAGATTCGCTCTGAACTTCGCAAGTGATGGAGAAGTAGTCAGAGAAGTAGTTAGAGAGTTCCAGAAAGAAAGACCAGAAAAAGCGAAAGCAGATTTGGCAAAAGAGTGTTTAACACGATTTAAGAAAAAGCGAGAAAAAGAAGACGATCGTAAACCGGGGCGTTTAGGTTCAATTAATATATCTGATAAATATTTAGGAAATAATTTAGATTGAGACTCATACATGAACGTGCAAATTTTAAAAATTATTCTATATTTTATAGGTAGCCAGTGCAAGAGAACAAGATATGGAGATATATGAGAACAGAAAGGGGCACGAGCAACTAGACGAGCAGCAGAGTTAAAAGCTTTACTTAAAGGATAGAGTCAGGAAGACCATAGTAGAGCAAGTTACAATAATCAATCCTAGATAAGACTAACGAAGTAACAAGAAGGAGAAGAGTAGGATCATCAAGAAAAGGCAAAAGTTTTTTTATTCTACGTAGATGAAAGTAAGAGCTTCTAGTAACACTATTAATCTGAGAAGAGAGAGACATAGTAGAATCAAAGATAAAACCTAGACTACGAAACTTATGAGAGGCATCAAGAGTTTTAGAATCAGGTGAGATAATAAGAGGAATAGTAATAGAGTGTTTAGATTAAAACAAATTAATTCAAACTTAGAAGGATTAAGTTTAAGACACATAGAGTCAGACAAGGCGATAATTGAAGAAAGACATAGAGATAGATTATGAAGAACACTAGCATATAGTTGACTAGAGAAAGAATAGTTATTAATAATACGAGGTAGTTCAGAGGTATAGAGTATAAATAAAAGAGGGCCAAGGATAGAACCCTGAGGTACCCCGAAAGTAAGAGTAGAGGAGTTAGAAGTAGAATTATTGAGAACAACTGAAGAAAAACGAAGATAGACAAGAATCAGTAATATTAAAAAAAAGATGTAGCAGTCTCAAGAGAATAGTATGGTCAACAGTATCAAAAGCCGAGGAAAAGTCAAGAGCAAGAAGAAGAGTAAGATTACTATTGTCACTAGAGAGAAGGTTATCATTATGCGAAATTTTAAATAATTATCATCCAAAACAATCACCGATGTTGATAATTATAAATTATTAAATATTAAATGGAAAATTAATGAAATTATTTTAATAGGAATTATTATTTTAATACTTTATATCATTTATTTAAACTCTTGTATCATATAGGCAAATGCTGTCGTAATTCAACAGCTCCTACTTTATTTCTTCTTTTTAAAAATCCTGCTATTAAATTATTTATCTCTTGGCAGAATCTTACTGATAATATTGAAAATTATTTTCTCACTTCCAACGGCTTACCTATCACTGATATTAAAATTACTGAAAATTTTCTTTTAATGAAAAAAATGCAAATTTCTTAGCCCACTTTTCAGCTCAAACATAGATTTTTCAATTCTCTTATTCCTATTATAAAAAACATTTAGATTATTTTAATCAGGCCCAGATGCATCAATCCAATTTAAAGGCATCATTTGTTTTTTTATTTTATTATAAAGATAATTAATAATCTTTTTCAACCATTAATCAGAATAAAGAAATGATTTTACCATTTTATATAATTATTTCCTTTCTTTCAACATGTTACTGATTATATAACCACTTTTTCTTTTTGTCAGTTAAATTTAATCAAATTTATTTAATTCGGTTAGTTACCATATATTCATAATTATCGTATTATATACATTTGTGTTTTAACCATTTACTTTTCATTTTTAGAATTTGAAGCATTGCCAATGAAACTTGGCAATGAATACACACTAAAAAAAGCAACCACCTGCATGAATAATTAAAATTTAAATTTAAACATAGCAGCAAAAAACCAATTAAAAAAACCCACAAAATCAACAATTACAACAAAAAAAGGAACAACAAAACACCAAAAAGTTGTTTCAACAACTACCAAACTGCCCCGAAAAACTCGATGCCAGGGAGGCCTGGATCAATCGCCGACAACAACAACGTGCCACAACCAACAATACTGAAATAAACCAGGAAATATGGGATCAATTCAAATTAAAAAACGAAATTGTTTATATTATTAACTTATTGTTCGATTTTGTTTATTTTTCTTCCTTTACAAAATTTATGTCTTATGTCATATGTTATTCTTTTTCAATTATATTCTTTACCTTATGAACATACAATTACAATTTTTATTTTTTAAATGCTTATATATATATATATATATATATATATATATATATATATATATATATATATATATATATATATATATATATATGCATGCATGCATGCGTTTATAGATTTCCAACAGCAAGCATTGTTTAAGCATTTGCACTAACTCACATATAATATATATTATTTTTTGCGCTTTAACTATGTGCAATTTGAGAACAAATTAACTTTTTAAAAGTAAATGATATTATGTAGATGATAATTTAGGTTAAGAGGTATAAGTAAATATAGGTTATATATAAATACACAAATCCAATTCCCGACTCCAACTCTGACCTTTCAAAAAATTCCGACTTCCAGAAAAATTTCGATCTACATCATAATTTCACCTTATTATCACTAGTAAATAAGAAATACTTAAAAAAAACACTTGAAATCAGTCAATATTCTATTAGAAGAAAAATTTGATTAGATTAAATCAATTTTCTAAATGAAAAAATTAAAGAATTAGAAGCTAAACTAAATCTGAATGATAACGTTAAGCTATGAGAGGTTGAAAAAAAGTTTATTTAGGAGAAATTCAATAAAAAGCAAAACCCTTCTGATTGGATAGAGATATTTGAAAATGAATGTGGAAGGTAAAATTGTTTTTCTTAGTAAAATTATTATACTTTTATGTTTTAAAACTGAAAAAAATTTTGAATTTATTGAAATTATTAAGCATTTATTTTCCGTATTAAGGATAATTATTTATTGCTACACACATTTATTTTCCAAAAAACACAATCCTAAAAAAAATTTCAGAAAAAAAATTAATAACATTTTCCGAAGTCGGATCTCCAGCTCATCAAAAAATCCGACTCCGTCCAAGATCTCCAACTCAGTGGCGTAATGAGGGGGGGCAGAGGGGGACAGTTGTTCCCGGGCGCAGGGCTGGGGGAGCACAATATCAGTGACCAAAATATCAGTGACCAAAAAGGTTTTTTTATTATTATTTTGCTTTACCTAGCAATTTCTGTGTCTGTCCTTTAGAACAGGTCAGTCACAGTGCAGTTAAAAGCTTGTATAGATTATGCTCTATAGTCTATAGTATAGTATCTTTGTGGTATAGCTGCATTGGGTTAGTCAGTATAGCTGCCTACAAATACCTGCTATTACCAGTGATGGGCATAGTTTAATTAAATAGTTGCAAACTAATAGTTTAACTACTTTTTTTAGTTTCCTTCCTAGTTTAACTAAAAAAAAATAGTTTAGTTAAAACGATAGTTTAACTAAAATATTTTAGTTGCTAACTAAATAGTTTAATTAAAATATTTTAGATAAATATCTTTTATCCATGTCTTGACTTATGGTTTTTGAATATTAATTTTAATTTGTAAAAAGTTAAGCTTTCCATATTTTTAAAGCAAAGTACATTCAATGTTTTTGGTCTTTACCAATGTTTCGGACTGTTTGATGTCTTGTTTCCTCTCTGTGTTGAAGGTTGACGCTGATGGTTGGTTAGTTTTTTAATCTTTAAAATTTGTTGCTGTTTTGTTAAAAATATTTTAATAAATACATTTATGTAATTGTCTATATTCAATTAGGTTGGTTTTAAACACTAAATAATTTATTTGGCCTAAATTTTATGATGACAAGTTATGTTAGTTAATGATTTTATTTTTAGCGCATTTTTGAAATGCAGCTTAATACTTCACTTTGAAAAGACATGTTTTGAATAGTTTGTTATGTTAGTATTAATGCCACTTTAGATTATGTCTGTAAAAAAGTAAATATAAAAATAGTTGCAAAATAGTTGGAAAAAGTTTAACTACTTTTTTTTTAGTTTAGTTAACTACTTTTTGAAAAAAGTTTATAACTATTAGTTTAACTACTTATATATATTATATATATATAAGTAATAATAAAAATATTTAGTTAGTTGCCCATCACTGCCCATTCCCTCCATATAAACGCCACTGGGCATTCACAGTAAACTGCTCAGGGATAAAATTAAGAAACTTGTGTTAAAATTTACTAGAAAATTTAATTATTGTTAATTATATAAATAACTATTTATTAATATTGTGTATCCTATATAAAAGTTTTTCTTAATCCCAGATATGTTTGGAAAAAGGCCTAGTGGAGCTCAGTGAAGAAAAAGAAAGGCAAATGAAACAAGAGAAGCTAGTAAGTCCAGCAAACTCCTGGATTGTTTTTTGAAGAAGGCAAAGTCAACATCAGAAGAAAGCCAACAGCCTCAGGATACTGATGTTGATGAATTCAATGATCAACCAAGTGTACAGCAGAATCAGCAAAACATAGAGAACAGTAGCAGTTTATCAACTTCATCTAACTCTGAAGTAGAAGAAGAAAATGATGTCATTTCTCATAGACCAAATCCAATTCCAGCTGTGCTTATGTTTGGGGATGTTGGCTATTTGGATTTCGACCAAACGTCACAATTGCCTATAATTTCTCAACAGCTCTGCACAGAAATGGTATTTCGAGGCTCTAATGTATTTCAAAATAATAATGGTCCATTTGCTAAGAAAGACGGCCGTTCTATGACGAAGCCATGGTTCAAGCGGAGACTTGCCAATGGAAAGGGAGATGAGGTGAATCGGGTCTGGCTAGTTTATTCACCATTGAATGAAGCAGTGTATTGTTTTTGCTGCTTGTTATTTCCCTCATCGAGTGCAAATAATAAATCATCTTTTGAATTATCTAATGGATTCAGCAAGTGGAGGAAGCCAGAGAAACTAGCGGCTCACGAGAACAATCCTTTCCACCGGAAATCATTTAATGCATGGAAAGAAGCAGAGCGCAGATTGATTCAAGGGAAAACAATCGATACATCTCTTGAAGCTGAAGTTCAGTCAGAGGTTGCACGATGGCGAGATGTTTTGAAGCGAATACTAAATTGTATAAAATTCTTGGCCACTCAAAACTTGGGATTGTGTGGACATATTGAGAAACTTGATGCCACAGGAGACAAAAATGTAGGAAACTTTTTGTCTGTTCTTCAACTTCTAGCTCAGTATGACCCAATTTTGCAGTCACACTTTGACCATGCTAGAAAGAATCCAGGATCTGTTACATATTTATCTGCAGAAATTCAGAATGAGTTCATCAGCATTCTTGCTTCGAATGTGAGAAATCAATTGCTGATTAACATCAGAAAAAATAAATACTACGGGATTTTGTTTTGTTTGGTTCAACTCCTGACTTGGCACACAGGGAGCAAATGTCTGAAGTTATCAGGTATGTTGACATAAATTTTGATAAGAGGGAGGTTGTAATAAAAGAGTCATTTCTTGGCTACATCGAAATTCATGGAAAAGATGCAGCCTCGATTGAAGATGTTATCGTAAAAAGATTGGAATCTGACAACATCCCGTTACAAAATTGTAGATCTCAATGCTATGACAATGCAGCTGTTATGTCGGGGCATTTATCTGGAGTTCAGCAAAGAATTTGCACAAAAAATAACAAGGCATTGTTTGTGAATTGTGACAATCACAGCTTAAACTTGTCAGGGGTGCATGCTGCAAGTCAAGATCCAATTGTAGTTACTTTTTTTGGCACCATTGAAAATTTATCTATTCTTTTCAAGATCAACCCATCGATGGGAAAAACTTAAAGAAGCAGTGACCATCACAGTCAAACGTGAATCAGAAACACGATGGAGTGCTAGAGCAGAATGTGTTGAAGCAATTCATGATGGACTTGATAACATAGTCAGTCTACTGGAAAAACTGTCTGAAGATACAACTGAAACACAAGAAACTAGAGGCGATGCTGTAATTCTGCTACAAAGTATTCTTAGTTTCAACTTCTTAGTTTTCCTTCCTTTCTGGCATGACATACTCAAAAAAATCGACCGTGTTCAGAAAAGACTTCAAGATCCAACAATGAATTTCCATGAAGCGTCTTTGGATATTGAATCTCTGCACATGGATATTACAAGAATTCGTGAAGACATATGCAATGATTCAGTGCTAAAAGCAAAGGAAAAATGTGAGCTATGGGTTGTGGCTGTAGAAAGTAGAATCAGGCGACGGAGAAGGATGCCTGGAGAACTTGCCCGAGATGCAGGACTTTCGGCAGAAGAAGAAATTGTTCGTATCATGAAGAGTATTTTAGATCGACTCGAACAGGAGATGACAACAAGGTTTACTTGTCTCAAAGATCTGAACTTCAAATTTGGATTCTTACTTGATGTAGACAAACTTTTGAATGACAAAGATCTTAACAGTCTCCGTCAGCATTGTATTGACTTTGGAAATTTTTATGACTCTGATGTTGAAGGAATTGAGTTATTAAATGAAATATGTGACTGCAGAATGCTCCTTGAGACCCGCCAGGATACTGCACCAAAGACTCCTACAGAACTCTTGTCATTCATTATTAGTTACGGAGAAGATGTTTTTCCAAATTTGCGTGTTGCTCTACAAATCCTTCTTACTATAGCTGTCTCGATTGCCAGCTGTGAGCGATCCTTCAGTAAATTAAAAATAATTCTTTCCTTTCTTCGAGCATCCATGGGACAAGATAGACTCAGCGACCTGGCCCTAATGAGTGTGGAGAGGGAAGTTCTTGAACAGATTTATTTTGATGATATAATTAACCAGTTTGCTGCAGTAAAAGCAAGAAAAATAAATTTTCTTTAAAATTCTGCTCATTTCCTAACCACAATTTCTAGACAATACTTAGCTGTTGTTTTGTTTTTAAATTTAATAATTTTTATTTCACACTTCTGACTCAGCGGACAATAAAAATACAGAATTATAAAAACTACTTGGAAGAATCTAATTATATACATCAATCATAATCATTTTTTTTAATCATAATCATTTTTTTTGCCAAATAAATGATTAAATGATAATCATTAATATTTTGTATTACAATATAATAGTTAAGAACTGAGAAAGAATAATACAATTATGGTGTAAGGTGCAATATGGATATAGAAACATGAATACACTGAGATGCATTGTATATAGGCGTCACGGAGTGTAGCCTACTTCAAATACGGAGTACGACAGTTATATTTTATATAGTTTGACAGATCTTATGTAGGGGGCGCAAATTTTTTGTTTTGTCCCCGGGCGCAGAAGACCCTAGCTACGCCACTGCTCCAACTTCGACACTCTGATTTTAACAGACGTTTTCATTTTATCGTTTTAATTGTGTAAGGCAACTTAACAAAGCCTACATCAGCCTTGTTTTACTCTTCGCTATAGTAATACGGTTGGTGAAAAAAAAAAGCCATCGTCATGTTGAGTGTTTAAACGTAGAAATCAGCATGGAATTTTTGCACTTGTGGATGTATGTCTCGGATGTATTCTAAGTTAGTGGTCTCGAGAGCACAATCGACAAAGCTGGAAGCAAATTGAGAGATTGTACGTTGTTGTACACGTTAACAAAGTAAACTAACTGAGAGAACTTTATTTTCGAAAAAGCGAAATTATCACGAAAAATGTTAAAATCACTTATTTAGACTAGCTAGATTGATTCACATAAATAAGGAAAATTTGTAACTCACCATAAATTTTAATGTTATTAAATTAACAAAATCACCTAATAACACTGAAAATATTACACCTAGAAAATTAAACGAAACAACACTACGTTAATATTTGAACAAACATAATGCGCACTTTCCTGATCACGTGAGTAAGTTACTTATTTGGTGGTATCTGAGTATATATTTTTGGAAGCGACTAGCGAGATGAATTCATTCAGAGATCTGTTAAGGGACAACAAAAAGCCCTTGGACATGGGATAGAGTGGAAATTTAGGCATGTGGGTCTCCAATTGAACCGATCTTGGCTTCTGGTCATCCTGCGAAGAATTACATTAAACAATTCTTAATGATAGCTACCATATTGTCATTGTTTTTTAAAATAAATATATAATAATCGTGCGCTTGTTTGTCAATGCTGAGATGATTTAAAATCACAATCCTCTACATTTTGTAATCCATGCAAAGTTGACCAAGATGCTGCTTAGCTGCGAGTTAAATCTAGCAAAATGACACTGACAAGTGTAGGACGTTACCAACATTGTTCTTTTAGCCCAACATCCAACTGAACTGAAAGCACAACAATTTCAGTTCATGTTTAAACATTGTTAGAGGCGTTAAGACCATTTGGCGCTCATCATGCTGATTGTGTGAGTTTACGCTCGAAGGGTTAAAAATTGAAAACTTATGGTTTGAGCTTAAGTCCAAATCAATATATGCAAGTCTTCAAAGTGAAGCAAATAATTCCAAACTAACTGTTGCATCCTGAAGCCATGACTTGAATCTGGTTATTAGTTTAGAAGACCGTTCACGGAAATGACAATAAATTTCCTCGGCGAATGCGACATGTGGGCTGCGTAACAGTTTGGTCATCGCCTGTATGCACATGGTTGTAATTTGTGTCAGCCTGATTTATATCACTGTATTGTTTTGTATAATTGTACGCATGTATAAAAATAACGGTGCGACAGATTCCGGTGATATCATTGTGCAAATAAATATAATCGTATGGAGAAATAAGACAAAAAAATTGAGAAAATGTTGAAAAGATGAATTTCTTATAATGAGGAACCTGCACAAGTTTGATGAGTACCATCTCGTTGTACATGCGACTGTTTTCCTGTCCCTCCTGTGTACCCTTCTGCCGTTCGTACCCAGCCTCGTTGAAGTACGGCTCGTGGTTAAGGATTAGACCTGTTCAAGTACATAGTATCGTTCACATTATTCACCCCATCATCAGTTCTCCTACAATATAAGTCTCACTGATTTCAAGTTTTAAACGGTGCAACAACAATGATTTTACTTCTCTAATACTTTAATACTAATAATTTGATCTGCTTGATCTGCGCCAGTTTGGCAATGATTAAAACTATATTAGACAGCTAAAAAAAATGAATACATAGAGAATGTACTATGCACCCTATACATGCCCAGCGTTAGGGACGCTAAATGATTAAACCTTGTATAGAAACAAGAACTTGAAGGAGATTCGATTCTTTGGGATTCCAAATTTCCGTTCCTTTCCCTAACCAGGTGCCCAACAAACTGACGCAAACCTGCAATTACGATTATGGAAAACAATCGTTAGCCGTCAAATCAATCAGAAAATTATTACTCATAATAAAAAAATAAATAGTAATTTTAATTTTAAACATTTTTCGTTTGCTTGTACATGAGTTGATTTATTAAATTAATGTAACGGAAACATTGCCACATAAAGTGTAGTGAAATACCAATTGAATGTGTATCTTATCTTTTAACTCGCACAAATAAACAAAGGGGATTTACAACACCATCCTCCTTTACAACATTTTGTAATATTCTTTAAATATGACATTTAGATTACTGCCTTCTCATATATTTCCTGTAAATAAACCGAGACGTGAATTTGCAAACGTTTAAAAAACCTTCCCATCCTCATAGAGATTTGGATTCAATCGGTCGGCGCAGTAGGAGACGTAGAAGAACTTTGGAGGATTCTTGGGGTAATCTGAAGGAAGCTGGACATCGAAGAAGAAGAGACCATCTTCATACGGAGTGTGCGTAGGGCCTTCTATCATCACACTGAACAAGTCCTGTTTCATAACATAACGAAACTGAATAACAATGCTTTTGGGACATAGGCATAAAACAGACATTAACACACGACATCATTTGGATGAGTTATTATGGAATTATATACAGTATACATACATATATATTTTTGTAAAAACATTCAAAAATAATTATCATAAAAACTCTTGATGTTATAAATATTTTTAACTCATTTGAATAAAAACTGACCATCCTGGAATCGTATCCTTTGACAAAAATGCCCAGAGGAAGACTGCCCTTCAACAGATTAATCTGTTATGGGGTTTGAAACATTTATGCAGAACTTTTGCAAGCACCCACAAATCATACACCACCATCGTTCTTGGTTGGCAACATTTATTCAGAGGAACAGTGCTGCTATGGGTTTGCTCGCCCACAAAGATTTTGTAAGCCACATCTTTTTTTATAGGCAGTGCACGTATCTAAAAGGATCTCTTTCAGGAACTTATTTGAAATGATTGCCCAACGTCAAGTCGTGTCTTCACCTTTTCATCTATCAATCATCTCAAGTCTGCACACACACACAAGCACACACAAATATACACACATGCACATGCACACACATTAAAAAACATACTTCTTTTTTAACGGCATTGAGAAAAGTTTTTTGATTGGAAGGATTGTGAGTGGATGACTTGAAATGGTGATGATCTGGTGAACTGGAGAGCATTGCAAACCCTAAAAGCACATATTAAATTACAATTCTAGTTGCATTAAAACACTCTATGATATTCAACATATATGCAAAATGATACAATAAAACATCATTTTGAGAAATAAACATTACTTCTACCATTCTTAAACTTTAAAACTACAGACATCAATCAATCAATCAATCTTCGTTTTGCGTCCAGAGACCCGGTTTCCCGAGGTAGGACGTTGTTTTCTTTGCCATCAACTTTTTGCGCCAAATTAGACGATCAGTTGTATCCATTTCATTTAAATTTAGAGCTTTCATGTCTTGCTCGATTGTTTGCGACCAGGACTTCTTTGGACGGCCTTTGGGACGTGTGCCAGGTACTTCAACATCTGCAAGAGAAGTTATGCCACTGTTTCTACTTCGTTTGACATGACCAAACCACCGCAGACATCGGAGCATTTTCATGTCGGTTCGTTGAAGTTGTTGTTCCAGTTTGGTTGTCATTGGCCATGTTTCTGCACCATGTAACAACACCGGACGTATCACAGATTTATAAAGTCTTGATCGTAGTGGTAGTGGGATGTCACGCCGCATAAATTTAGAGGCAAGGAGATGCCATTTATTCCAGGCTGCACGTATGCGTGCTCGAACAGCAGCTTCAGCTGTTCCAGTACAATCCAGAACATCCCCTAGATATTGAAACGATGTGACTTTCTCTATTTTAATGGCTTCAAAAACAGTGCTATTTCGAAACAACAACAACAACAACATTAAATACCTAAATGTTTTTTCAAAGTTTCAAAAACTAGAGATGCACTGAATGTGTGGCCCCAATGAATGTTTAGCCAAACTTTGACATTCAGTTTTGACAATTTTTAGAGACCGAATGTAGCAATTTTCTATTAAGGCATAATTTTTTTGAATTCCAAAAATATAGTTGTTGAGTAGTATAAGCGAACATTTTTTTTGGCCATCATTGCTGTTAAAACAGATGAATTTGATCAAGAGAATGATTACTATCTCGATGTAGAATTGTTGTATAGACAGGAATAGTTGATTGTTTTCTCAATAGCTTATTTTTCATTCCAAGAAATAATTTTAATCTAAATTGCGGATTTTTCAGTATTCAGTGTTTGGCAGAATAGTGGATCGACTATTCTATTTGGTCTTTGACCAAATTCATCATTCGATACATCGCTAACAAAAACTCATAGCCGATATATATAAATTTTAAGAAAAACTGATAGAAAAGATGATAAAACCTTTTTCATTGAATTCAATTTTCAGGTTTACTTCTGGAGTGAGTGGTGAAAGATCAGTGCTTGGACATGAGAAGAATTCATCCTCAACGATGGATTCAACTTCTTTTTCCGCATCTTCAAACGAATCGCTAGACTTATCAACATCGAGGAGAAGTTTCATGAGATTGACGTGTGAGAGATCATCTTCTTCACCATCCGTCATCTTAGACGCTACATCATCAGTGCCCTCTGTTTTTTCATCTTTTTTTTTAAGAAGAAGGTCTTTGTAGTAAGCTTCTTTGTTTTCAAACTCTACAAGCAATTCAGCTAGTAATGACTGAAATTCTTTAATGGATTCATAGGCTTTCACTCGACGTTTGTGTTGTGAGGAAGTTGTATTATCCGGTTGAGGTTTCAGACTGACATCAATTGGCGGTGAAGCAGATGATGGCTTGGGATAATCGGCAAACTCTTCAGGAGTCAGTTTTTCGTTTTCTTGTTTGCTTTTTTGATTCTCATTCTCACAAATCGACAGATCATCATTTTGTGTGTTTTCCCGTTTGCAATTCATCTCATACAAGCATTTTGCCTGAAAGTAATTTCAATTAATTAATTGAAATTAATTGTAATTAACTGGAAGTCATTTATTAAAGGAACATAATACTTAATTTATTATATCGGAGCAATGACTAATGTAGAGAAGTGATTTAATTACATTTTGATTATAATTATTCTACAACATTGAGTGCCATCATTTTAAAAATAAATCTGTTACTTTTGTAACATATAATCCCATTGAGAATATATTATTAACATCAATTTCTACAAATGAAGCAGACGTTCATTGCCGCCTCATTCACTCAGCTTAGAAAATATAACCAAGATATTTTACATAACAATAAAATCAGAACCATGTAATAATGCATAATATAAATTATATTATAACGGAAACCTTATGAATAGCTCTGAAAGACCAGTCTTTGATCCGTTCACTTTCCATTTTGTCATTAGCCATCTCGAAGTATTTCTTTAGACGAGGCAAACAGTTGATTTTCTTCACATTTTCCAGCCTGCAGAATGTCCTGTACAGAGTTTGCAACTCGAGCACCAAAACTATGAAGTCATCAACACTTAAGCTGAAGTTATCTTGCACTTGGAGACTCTCTTGTGACAGCTGATCAGCATGTGAGAACGCCTCCAAGAAACATTGCTCCACGTCTGCCGATGGAATGCTTATCGATAGTGGTTGAGCTAACTTGCGGGAGGCTGCTGATGTCGATGAAGCAGCTAAAATTGAGGTTAGTGAGGAAGTGGAAGAAACTGTAGTTGTAACATTCGCTGATGATGGCTTCGACCCAGAGGAAGAATCTGCAGCTGAAAATGATGCTGAAGTTGTACTGGGTGACGTGGCTGGAGAACTGATGGGTGATGTCGGGATGTTTCGTGAGGTGAGCAAGTCCTCTTCCACCTGAGTGGTTTGTTTTGTAAATTAATGAGTCTAACACAATAGCGATGACAATTTTCAAACAAAAACTCCCCTCTTAAATTTTATGAGACCAATAAAAAAGAATATCAAGTTATTATTAAAAATTAAAAAAATTGATTCTCAATAACAAAATTTTGTATTTTATTAAATTAACTATTAGAAAATAGAAAATGTATTTGATGCAAGAGAATATCTAACAGAATTGGACTCATCTCCTGGCAACTCCTGGATACGTTCCAGTATTTCCCTAAGTGACTTCTGATACTTCTTGAGAACTTTAACAGACGAAACAAAAAATTCGCAGTTTCTCGTCATATTTTCCAAATGTTTAACATCTTCGGTTGTGTTGAGTTTGCTGTCGTGAAGGAATATTCATTTAAAAATTGAATGACAACAAAACAAAATATAAAAAAGAAAACAAGTGAATCACTGCTCTAAACATTAATATAATAATTATAAAAATAATATTATTACTAATGTTATTGATGAAGAATTAAAAAACTATTTCTATAACTACGAAAGAGAGTTAGTCGACAGAGGGGACAATAAGCAAGGAAAGAACCTTTGATGAGGTGACTTGAACTTGGCTTCTTCAGCCGAGCTCATCTCAACCTCCTCCTCTGTCTCCCACTGACAACTTTCCGATGAATTACTTGAATCACTGTCACTCTCATCGTCAGGTTCATATTCATATTCATCATCTGATTCCTCTACATCTGACATCTTGCGGTAAATAAAGTCACAAGAGTTTAAATAATTTAATCATAACTTCGTGCTGTAACACTTTTTAAATGAACACATTTTATATTATAAAGTTCGTTAGCATCTGACAAACTCTAAACAAATAATATAAAGAGTTAAAAATGGCAGTCTCGAGAAGTGATTGTAAAAGTTTGAAAAAGGAAGAGCGGCACCGATGAAAGTATGTCTAATGACAATAAGAGATCATGGCACCAAATCTGTTCATGAATTATGTGCAGTGTACTCCGTATACAATGATAACTACGCCAAATAAAAATTTAAAACACACAAAATTATAAGCATTATATTTCAAAAACATCACAAAACATTAAATTTCTGAAATGTTTCAAAAATACGCAATGTAACAAATCCTTACATCTAGACCGACAAAGAAGAGGTCAAGTGGCTTGCAGTAGGATGTTGATGCGTCAGCCCACTGTATCAGCAATCGACCATCGACACCCAACTCCAATATCTGACCTCCAACTGGAGTGTAAGTCGAGCTGCCTGCTACTACATCCACTTTTTCTGAAACCTTTACACAATTTTTCAAATTTTTAAAGGATTAAATTTAAAATGTTGACTCTATTGAACAAAGTTTAAAAAAAATAGTCAAAACAAATAAAATAATTCGATTTAAACAAATATCAATAGTTAATAATAACACTCTGATTGATAAAGCAGTTGCTATCAATCACCTGTACTATTATTTCCAAGATGTAAAATAAGAGCTCAATGTTTATTAAAATATTTTACTGAAAATGAGGAGGTGAATAACGAAACATTGCAAGTGCATAGTGGAGTGTTATCTGGGAAAAATCATTCAACTAACTTTGTTGTCAGCAAATCCTCCAACCCTCACAGCCACCATGCCCGGTCTAACATTCAGATCATCATGCTCTTTCAGATCAAACACACTCACATCTTTATCTATTCCTTCCTTTCCTTCACTGCATTATTATTATTATTATTATTAATCGAAAATTTGTATAGCGCTAATTACAAACAAACTGTTTCTCAAAAGCACTGTCTAAAAATAAAATAAAAAAAAAACAGATGAATTGCTACGATAAACCAAATCTTATAATGAAAACAAAAATGATTTAAATAATTTCTTGAACAATTTTTCTGTCAGTTCAGGCTGTCTTAGATAACTTGGTAGACTATTCCAAACGGCCGGTCCACATACTGAAAAACTTCTCTCAGCCATTTTCAAGTTGGTTTGGGGCACACACGTGCACGTGCAGGCCGTGCAGGCAGCATTTTGATTTGCTCCGTATTATTTCTTAATTTCATAGTTTAAAATCGAGTATTTAGTTTAAATTTAATTTCATTTGATAGAGAAAATTTTGACAAATATTTATATATATATATTTTCTCCGTTTAAAAGTTTAATTTAGTGCTGTTTTTGCTGTTTTTTTCGTTTCGGAAAGAAAGTACAGAAAGACTTTAAATCATCATGATAAGGAGGTGTGGAAAAATGCTCTGCGATCAAAAAATATTTTATTCAACCAGAAAAAAAAATTTGTTTTGGAAAAAAATCATTTTTGAAAATGACAGAAATCCTAAAAAAATTTGGACTGTGGTAAATGAACTGTTGTGCAAAAAACTTCAAATTCATCTACCAATTTTGAAGCGAACGATTTCGCTACATTCTTTTATGACAAAATTAAAAATGTACGAGAATCGATGGTGTATGATGAGAAGTTTAATCATTCATCTGGCGTCTGCTGCAGCAACTTGTTTTCAGTTTTTCCTGTTTATGACGAAAGCGAAATTGAAGCAGTTTTGAACTCTCCATCTAAAACATGTTCACTGGATTGTGTTCCTTCACACTTTTTCAAAAAATATGTAGGATTGTTTTCAAAATATTTGACTGATTTTATAAACTTATGTTTACGTACTGGTGAGTTTCCGGCTATGTTAAAGCGTGCTACAATTTCTCCTCTTTTGAAAAAGGAAAATTAGACAATTCTTACTGTATATATATATATATATATATATATATATATATATATATATATATATATATATATATATATATATATTTATATGTATATATATATATGTTTTCGGTTGGATGTAAATAAATTCTGCGATTCTAAAAACTAAATTTTCAAGTAAAAATATGAACAATTTCAAGTTGAATCAAAATAGTGATTAATTCTGCTCAAAGAACAAGAGGCAACTTTAGGAAGCGTAAATTGTAATAATTTGTAGAACTTGGACAATTAAATTCAATTTTACCTTTACTTTTAATCTTTTAATGTACTATCTTAATTAAGTACTATGATTATATGTTGTATTGTGTGCAATTGAACTGCTTATGCATACGTTAATGACTTAACTGTAATGGGTAACACCAGTCAGTCATACTTCTAGTTAATTGATCAACTTTTGTATATATGTGTGTTCTTATTTTAAAATTGATTATTGTATTCACAGTGGTTTTTACAAGTTATGTTATTCTTATGTGATCTCCATAAATCCGCACAATCTGTTATTTTCATTTTGTGTTTTTGGATTTTAAATAAATAGAAATTTTGATTTGAAGAAAAACACATTGAAATGAAAATTGAAATTTGTGAAAAAGAAGCCAAGCAGACACAAATGAAAAATAATAATATAATAATAAAAAGTTCTATTTTAAGACCGTTACTTTTTAACATATTTATTAATGATTTTGTAAACTCTTCTTCTAAAATTCTGAAATCTATTCTTTTAGTTAACGATACTACTCATTTCCATCAGACTCTGATCTTAACAATCTTGTTCTTGCTATAAATGATGAACTAAAAATGATGATGGGTGCCTTCTGATAATCTTAAACTTAACTTAAACAAAACTGGATATATTTTATTTGGTACTACAATACGTACTATTTATCAACCACTTAATTGATTATCCAGAGTGACGCTCGGGCAACCTATTTTAAACAGTTGTTTTTTGGTTTGCCCGATATACACTTGTGGCATATAATATTAGTTTTATATTAATTATTTTCAGCATGCCTGCTCATCTGCATTTTCTATTCACTAACATGCCATGCATATCTGTAACATTCAGTGAGACTGAGCCAGATATTTTGGATTATTTTGAATCTTTTTGGAGTTCAGATATAATGGATTTGATAACAACGGAAACAAATAGATAAATATTTCAATCAGTCTAGAATTTTTGGAACGTTTTCAAGGCTAGAAGATTGGAAAGACAGACAATTCCTAGATGTATATTCTTCAGGAAGCTATTAGTAAGTTCATATACGAGTGGTATCGGTTCAAAAGGGACAGTATAGGTAAATTTGGTAAATTCATGTCCTATAAACGTTTTGTTCTGTTTAAACGTTATATACATTTTGTAGACAATACTAGTTTTGATGCCAATGTTCACCCAAGTCCAAAATTATATAAAATATGGCCAGGCCAATTGTTGAACATCTCAACAGCAAATTTTTTTCTGTTCTAACACCTGAGAGAGATATCACAATTGATGGAAGTCTATTCTCTTACAAAGGTCGTTTGGAATGGATTCAATTTATACCCCTGAAGAGAGCTAGGTCTGGAATAAATCAGGAATGTGAATCTAAATCAGGATACCTTTGGTTATAATTTATACTGGTAAAGTCACAGTACTTTGTGATCAATATAAAGAGGGTACTATGGGTACAAGAACAGTAATGGCTCTGATAAAACCCTTGCTGAATATGAGTTATTGTCTAACTACAGACAATTTTTATACATCCTCAGAACTGAGTGATATTTTGTTGAAATACAAAACAGACACATATGGGACATTGAGACTAAACAGAAAGGAAGTTCCAAAAGATTTGCAGAATAAGAAGCTGAAAAAGAAGAAGTTTACCAGAGCCCATACCATTGCGTCTGATAGGTAGATATTTTTTGAAAGTATACCCCCAACAAATAAAAAAGAAAGGCCTACCTACACGTCAATGGAGTGTGTTTCACAAAAAAAAAAGTAAAGAAACAAAAAACCTTGAAAAGAAACAAGATATTACTGTCCAGAATCACTGAGTTTTGTTTATGATAACTTTGACATGGTAATAATTTATTAGTGATAATGGTGAGAATGTATAAATTATTAAGTTTGTTATTTAATAATTATTGTTCGGTACAACTATCTCGTGGTTTTAATATTTTTAAATCAATAAAAATTTCGAGTTTATTTTTAAATTTTTGTTTCAATAAGTTAAATTTTTGCTACTAAATCTTAAAAGATGGCACCGAAAAGCAATTTTGAAGATTGGAAAAAAGTTTTTTGAAACACTGGTGAAGAGAGTAGAAATCTTGGAAAACGAGATTTCAAATCTGAAAAAAAGATTTAATTAGAATTGAAAACGGACGATTTGGACTCCAAATCCTTACTCTTAACATGCAAAAATTTGGCGTTGAAAAAAAAGAATTTTACAGCTTGAATCAAAAATTGATGAATAGAGAACAAAGAAAGACAAAATAATAGACAAAGAAACCTCCAAAAAAGATATAGACTGGGTGTCAGTAGTTAAAAATGACAAGAAAAAGTGAAGAGGAAGTTAATGCTGTGAACACAATTGTTGCCGTAAATAAAGATAAAGAAAAAAGAGAAAATAACATAGTAATTTTTGGAATACCTCTATCGAAAGAGAGTAACATCGAAAGCAGAAAGATTCAAGACAAGGCAATTATAGAAGATGTTTGTAGTGAGTTGAATGTTGACAAAGTTAACATTTTGAATATTGTTAGATTCAAGCTTAAATCAAATTAGGTAACAACCCCTATTTTAGTGGGATTTAAAAAAAAACAATGCAAAAAGAAGTCATCCAAATGGCAAGAAATAAATTAAAAAATTCTGAAAAATTCAAACAAATCTTCATTTCACCAGATCTGAATGAATCAGAAAGAAAGCTATCCAAAGAGCTAATTAAAGAGAGAAATGAAAAAAAATGAAGAGTTAAACAAAAGTAACAAACTGAATAATCTCTTTCGATATGGGATTCGAGGAAACAATGCCACATCACTGAACAACAAATACAATGATTTAATTATAGAAATAGAAAATAAAAAACCAGATATTTTAATGATATGTGACACATGGTGGACAGATACTTCAGCAACCAGCATTTCAGGTTATTCTTTATTTAGGCAAGACAGGAATCATGGCCGAGGTGGAGGTGTGTGTATATATGTAAAAAATATTATTAAATCATATGAAATAACAAATGAATTTTTAAATAATGGAAATATTGAACACATTTGGTGCTCAGTTGAGGTTGGTGATGAATCAATTTTGTGTGGATGTATATATCACACTGGGAAGAGTAACTTAAGTTATTGTAATAATATAATAAAATCTATTGATGAAGCAACAAAATATATAAATTTAGTGGTATGTTAATATGTGGTGATTTTAATTTTAATATGATAAAGTGGAATGAAGAAAAAATTAGAATTGTCACAACTCTAAATGAATCAGCCGAGTTATTCATGAAATGCTTAGACAACATCTTCATTTACCAAAATGTTATGGAACCTACTTTACAGAAGGAATCAAATTTATTAACAAATGTTCTTGATTTAATTTTATCTGAATCATGTAATAGAGTTTATATGTTGCAAATTCACCACCTTTGGGAAATATTGAACATGGTCGTCATATAATAGAATTTAGATATAGCTATAGTGATTCAAACTCAAAGCATAGAATACATGTGAAAGAAAAATTTTTATATAAGAAAGACAAAGCCATTAATAAAAAAAATAAAAAATTGGTAAGAAATGTATAAGGGATTTTGAACAAAATTTAGCAAGAGATGCATAAAAACATTCTAAAATGCCTATATGAATGGAAAAATAGTCATTCGAGACACCATAAAAGCTATGAAAAATTTTGATGGTTCTGTAGTAACAAATGGACATGCAATTTCAAATATTTTGAACAATTATTCCAACTCTGTCTTTACAATAGAAGATAAAAATAATTTTCCTACTTCTCTACCGAAAACAAATGCTATATGCACAGACTCATCTTATGATAAAATCATTATCAAGACTAAATTAAGAAATCTAAATGTAAAAAGAGCTATTGGAGTAGATGGTGTACATCCCAGAATTCTCAAAAAGTGCTCAGAAAGTCTAGCAAAATCATTGAAAATATTATTTGATAAATCATACGAAAACGGTAAAGTGCCAGAATTGTGGCTATGTGCTAACGTTACACCCCTATATAAGAAAGGTAATAAATCAGATCCATCAAACTATAGACCGGTTTCTCTAACATCTGTAGTTTGCAAAATAATGGAGAGTATAACAAGAGATACATTAATGAAACATAAATGAAAATAAATCAATTATCAAAGAACAACATGGTTTTGTAAATAATAAAAGCTGTTGCACTAAATTATTAGAAACATTTGATTTAATAACAGAAGCCAATGAGCATAATATACCTGTCGACATAGCATTTCTTGATTTTGCTAAAGCTTTTGATTCTGTACCACATGAACGATTATGTATAAAATTAGAAAATCTTGGTGTTAAGATAAATTGTTAAGTTGGTGCAAAGCATTTTTAAGTAAAAGAAAGCAAAGAGTGATAATGGAGGAGTATGTGTCAAGCTGGATAGATGTCCTGTGTGGGGTTCCTCAAGTGTCGGTACTTGGAGCATTACTATTTGTGGTGTACGTCAATGACCTTACTATGAACGTTAGAAATAATTGTAAATTATATGCAGATGACACAAATTTTATTAATAAATTAATAGAAGATGATAAAATTAATACTAATTTACAGAGTGATTTGGATTAAATGTTTAATTGGTCAGACGAGTGGCAGGTGAAATTCAATACTGAAAAATGTAAAATAATGCATATTATTAGGAATAACCCTAGATTTGATTACTATGTGTATAATGATAGGAAAGAAAAAATAAAATTAAATGAAACTGAACTTGAAAAAGACTTGGGTATTTATGTGTCAAATGATCTGAAATGAAAGGAACATGTCTATTATGCAGTTGGGAAAGCAAACAGAAAACTAAGCATGATAAGAAAGTCTTTTCAGTTTTTAGACGAAAAATCACTAAAACTGCTTTATACATCTCTGGTAAGACTGCACCTGGAGTATGCGGTTACAGTCTGGAATCCATATCTAACAGAAGACATAAAAATGTTAGAGCAAGCTCAGAAAAGAGCAATCAGAATGTGTAAACTAAAAAACTTACCATACCATGACAGATTAAATATGATTGGTTTAACAACGTTAGAAAAAAGAAGAACCAGAGGTGATCTAATTCAGATGTACAAATTTGTAAGTGGCACAGATGCAATAAACTGGCATAATGAACCGATATTCATGTTTGACCCAAGAACAAGAGGACATAATAAAAGACTACGAATGGAAAAAGTAAAAAAAGAGAACTGCTGAAAAAGGTTTTTTAACAAATCGTATAGTCAACAATTGGAATAACTTATCTCAGGAAGCAATTGGTGTAAAAGATTTGAATATTTTTAAAAACTGTATAGGTTCAATTATTGGATAAATAGTTTAAAGCTGTTACAGTCATGATGCTACTGTAACCTGACTCAATGCACACATGTGCATCACTATTATTATTATTATTATTATTGTGCACAATGTTTTCACCGTTCATTACAAGAAAAGAAACAACGTAAATATTTATTGCCATTTGTGTTGCAATATTGAGAGCTTTTGGGCTAACGAAACGCTTCAAGTTAATTGCTCATTGTTGAGTAGTTACATGTGGAGGGGTTCCTCATTCTGGGTAATCGATCTTTTCCTTGGGACAGCATTCTGGGTTGCAGAATGCTTCGAGTTCATTGCAAAAGAAAGTAAAGTGAAGCAAACGTTGTTTGGAAAAAACTGAATGGAGACATAAAAAAGACCACGGATCTAAATAACGCTTCTGATTGCGTAGAACAGGGTATATTGATCGACAAAAGGCCGCTAAGGAAATCAGAGGAACTCCACCAGAATGGTTTGAAAGATACTTAACGGGAAGAAGGTAGTGTGCAATTTTGGGTTGTAAAATATCATCCTTGTTATCAACAATATATCAGAGTGCCTCAAGGGAGTATATTGGAACTTTGGCAACTCATTTTATTTACAAACGATCTTCAGAACATGAATACTGAACTATTGCGTTAAATTAACAGAAAAACGTTTTTAATTTTTAACATTTTCCGTTTAAGGTGTCTGTACTTAGTTGAGTTATATATTTTTTTATTTATATCCATCCTGCCTCTTGTTTTTTCAGGAGAGAATACAACAAAAATTAATATATAAGCACTCTTGAGTTACCTGCTTTTTTATTTTTGAAGCAGCGGTAGCCAGATGGCAGATGGATATGTTAAAACATGATTTCATGCTGTTAAGCAAATTATTACACAACAAAGCAAGGCTAACAAAAATTAACAATAACTAAGGTAAGCAATTAACTATATCACATTCAAATAACAAACCATGGTTCTGAGTTGGAGTTAAACCAGCGAATGTCACATGTACGAGCTGAAAAGTTCATCTTTTGAACTACTCCATAGGTCTTTGATGAATCCCAATCATTTGCTTCATGAGATATAAAATTTTTATAAGATGTGTACACATATAACCAAATCTTTAATCACACAAAACCCATTGTTAACAAAAATTTCAAAAAGTCAACTAACAATAAGAAAACGTTTATACATTTTTTCAGCATTTAAATAGCTTTAACCAATACATCCTAATTATTCAACTGACAATAGAGAGATAATATTGTAGCAGTATTTCTGTTAAACGTGTACTTAATTTGATGATCAATAAACGACGCATATAGAAAGAAAATCAATGCAAAAGCATGTATCAAACAATGCAACCGTTAAGGGATAATCAAACAAAATTTTAACTGAAAGATCCAAACGGTAAAATTCAAACTATAAAAATAAAAAATGTGAATCAATAAAACCAAAACGCATTGGAATATATACAAAACACGATGTACAAACCACATATTACCACCAAATTAAACATATTCAACTGTATTTACAAAAATTAAATTCTTACATTCTTACAATTAGATTTTTTTCAAATTCAACATTACTTTGTGAGTGTACGACGAAGTCTCCAGGAAAGAACTCCAGCTCATCAAGGTGATGGATGGGGTAGAGAGAGGTGGAGTGAATGTTTGTTTCCAGCTGACCATCCTAACAACAATCATTTATTTTTACTTTTAATGATCTTAATAAACTAAATTTTATGTTACAAGACAAACACAGTGTGAATATAAAGATAAAAGATGAAGATTTACTCTTCAATAGCAATTTAATAACAAAATTCATAATTTAGAGGAGATTTTTAAAGAGTATACATTAACTTTAATGAAAGGTCTTCAATGTTGAACCAACCTGCCACATGATATCAACCACAGTGAACGTAGACACAATCTCAACAGGTATTTTATCACCAGTTTCAAATTTCTTCGTCTGCTCATAAAACTTTTTAGGTTTAGTTTTTTTTAAAAAAACCTTTTTCTTCTTCTGGTTCCTGGTACTGCTGCTGGGTTTGCGACGTTTGTGCTTCCTGTTGTTGCTGGTGGTGGACACAGTCATTGCATACATTGCATCATTTTCATCCTGACACGCTTCCTGAAACGAGAATGTTCAATTATCACAGATCATAAAAAAAACTGTTATATCATAATAACCATTGTCCCTTCTCACAAATTATTCAACTCTAACAGAGGTGCAACATATGAGATGCCAAAAGTGTTCTCAAGGATTTTGAGATAATTAGAATATCTTCACGTTACTACAGTTAATTAATTAATTGACATCCAATCAACCTAATAGTGGACTGATATTAGTGATAGGATGGTGGTAGATCACTCAAGACAAAATGCACTATTAAACAAATTAAACAACGACATTGATAACAACGATGAAGATGCTGATAAAGAATTTAAAATAACCGACCTCATCATCTTTTAAACCAATCTCAGACTCGAGAAATGCAGAAAGATTTTCAGATGTCTCCATTGAATCCCCAATTGAAATTTTGTCGAGAGATAAAACGCTGTCTACATTAACTGACGACACCTGAGATGGCAGACGAGAAGATCGACCTTTACTATTTTGTACTGACTTGTCTGCAGCAAACAAGTTCTCCCTACATTTCATTATGCAATTCGCAATGACAGCATCCTTCTTTTTTGCATTTTCTATCGAAACTACTTCATCGCCAGAATCTAGAACGTAGTAGGCCTCATCTCCTATCTGGTAATTACTAGCACCAAAGCAATCTAGTGATTGCAGCCTGAGATTTATTTAATTTATTTAAGTTCAGACAAAATATATGAAATAAACCATTTAAAATAATATTGAATAAAAATAGGGGCTGGCAGGAGACAAACCTTTTCAAGTCTGGGCCAGTAACAACGGTTGGAGGATGTTGTGTAATGTGTTTGCTGGCATTGGCGCCTGAATATCCCCTGCACAACCAAAATACTTCCACACTTTGAACGTCAAACTGAAAATATTACAGAATCAAAATTAAACAATGAAATATATAATTATGTGTGAGATACAATATGATGATGATGACAAAAATGATTGATAACCAGAGCGGCATTGTGGTGGACAATATGAGCCAATGAAACAAAAAGCAATAAACGACTCTAAGCATCACGTCATTGTAATAATAATGAAAACTAAAATAAAAAATAGTAAATAGATTTTTCAAACGAAAACAGTGTGGAAAATAGTTGACACAAGACCAAATTTATTCAATAATTTACAATTCATGTTTAGAAACGAATTTAAATCAAATTAGAACAAAACCAACCTCTTCAATCACAACCACAACTTGTTTTGATTTACTTTTCTTGGCAGTTTTCTGGCAGAAATGTTTTGTAGGCAGGAACCACCTGGCATTCTGGAAAGCAGAGAGAGGACCTTTCAGAACTTGTCCTACATAGCACGTGCTAATTGCAAACTCAGAATCCTGCACGTAGAATCAGATAGTAATATACAACTTCAGGTACAAGGTAATATTTAAAAAAATATTTATAAAGGCTAGTAAAAAAAAGTTCCGCAATGAATAAGTGATGGGAGTGTTAGATTATTTAGGATTTAACTTATTACTATTGTAATCTATCTAGACATTTTTGTTTGTCAAAATCTAAAGGCCTAATTTTACGGTTCGAGTGATTTGCTGGACAGGCTCCCCCTGAGTAGCGACATCGTTCTGGAAATGCTCCATGCTGACTCTGCTCAACTAAAACCAATATTTTGAGCAATGATGATTAATAAAACATAAAACTATTCCATATTAGGTGCATAAGTTTGTTTACATGAAAAACCAAATTTAAAAAAAATTACCCTGTGTCTCTTATCGTTCAAATCGTCAAACTCATAAAATAAATTCTGCACTTCTTCTGAATTCAGTTCACATCTGAAAAAATGATCAAAATCTTGAATTTTCCGTCATTTTTTCCATGCAAACTCAAAAGCATGAACCAAGTAGACGCAGTAACAATTCAATCCATCGTCAGCCTCATACAATGTATATAAATGGTTGAGTTGAAAAGTACACATTATTCACCTTGTATGTTTTATGGTGAAATGATTTTATTGTGTTTCTTATAAATTTAACATGCATTTAGAATAATACACGTAAAGGAGATCGTAATTCTAATAAACATTTAACATAGCAAATAACCATAGAGCTTTAATTAAGGGAAATTAAGAAAAACATATACATATCTGATATGTAAAGCACCTACTTAGCACCATCCTTAAATTTGACGACCACTCGTTCTGAAACTTTTTTGACGACACCAACCCAGTCATCCAGGTAGACGTCATGAGAATCACTGTTGAACCGCTGTTTTCATTGTTATATCCAGCATTAGAAATGCAAAAGGTTTTAAATGAAATGTCAAAATAGAAAAAAAAAACCAACAAGTAATGGTAGAAGAGAAGAACTGTCAACGTTGGAAACAATGAATGATTGATTTAGGCACCTTAAGACACAAGTTATGCGGGTTTTGAAAACGTAACCTTTCTGACTCTCCTGACCCTGAATCATTCGCCGAACCACATCACCTGGAACCAATGATCTGTCTACTAGCTTCAGCTAAATTGATACAATTAAAACTTTATTTTTTATTGCATTTTAAAAACTATTGTGTAATTTATTGTGTACATGCAACACTAAAGTATACTGGATAATACACTGTGCTATACACTGGTTATTTCATTGGATAGTACATGTCTGCTTCATGACCAAAAAGTGGTGGCTTTTATAATTATAATGTGACTCTATATAATGTTAGTTGCAAGCTTGGGTCAAGAGGAGAATGAATCTTGTCTAAGTGGAACTCCTATTTTGCAATCTTTCTGCATGAGTGCCACACTGCAGAGAATGCTGAAATTATCCTATCCCCCATAAATTGGGAGACCTTAATAAGTAGTGGTGAAGGGCAGTACCTGATTTGACATTTTTTAAATTTGGCAAAAGCTGGATATAACCAGATTTACCAAACTAAATTGGCTATAAATAAAGTCAGATTTGCTCATCAATTAGATTGTATAACTTGTGACCATGGCCTTATAAGTTTGCCTACCGCATAAAAACTTGCTACAATATATGGCATCTTTAAATTGACTTGAATTTAATAAAGTTGAAGTTAAATGATATGGCAACATTTGAAAAAGAATCACTTTATGCATTTATTTTGTCATAATTACGCACATTAACTTTTGTTCATTTTAATCCTGATAGCATCTTTGAGATGTTTTAATTGACGCTATAAAATTTCTCTTAATAATTAATAATACATGGAAAAGAATACACATGGACACACATACATACATTCATATTTATATAGGTATATATTATGTATAAAAATTTATATATTATATGCATATATATTTATGTATTATATATACATATTATATATATATAATTAAGGTTAAACAAAAAACTGCTACAATCATTCATAACCATAACTGATCAAAGCTGAAAATGCAGTGATATTTCTCAACAACAACAATAATATATATATATATATATATATATATATATATATATATATATATATATCTTGTTTAATGACTGAATTGTATTATACCGTAAGTCTAATGTTTAGTATTTTTAATTCTCGATATCCATTGTACGATGATGCCTGGAACATGTACTCACGCATGTTTTGGGATTATATATCTAAACCACAATATGTAAGCTTTTGTTTATTTTGTATATATGTATATGATTACATTACGTTTGTTTGTTTATTTATTGGGTATTTATGTACAAACAATTTCGAATGTGACTATGTTCCAAATGATTCTATTCTATTTAACATTCTTATTAACTTAAAAATTTTTAACTGATAAACAATCATTATCATATTTGTTAAAATTTTTACTTTTTCTCTTGATGACATTACATTTACATGTTAATTTGGATTATTTTCTATTAAGGTTACTGTGCACGATGAGTCTCTTAAAGACTCCCTACAGTAGTCCTCTACCTTTATTTTTCTTTGAGGTCCAATAAAATATTGTATTGTATATATATATATATATATATATACATATATATATATATATATATATATATATATATTGTGTTTAGACTATCATAAATACAATTCCTGACCCATTTTGTCAACATGAACAGATATACAGGCAATTTGCAACCTTTTTAGTACATGCCATTGTCACTCATCTCCCAAAAAGTTCAAACTAAATACTGAATTAGTTTCTTAATTAAGATTATTCCATTTAAAAATTAACGATTTTATTCTTTCCTCACAATCTGGCTATTGTTAATTCCATTTCACCAAATAACTCTCAGTGAGGTTTCTACCAGCGTCTTTTGATCCATTGATAATCAAAATGATTCATTTCTCGTCTTACTAGACATGAGTTATACTCTCGATTATGTTGACCACAATCTGCTCATTAATAAGCTCAACTCTCAGTTTTTCTAGAACAGGCTTGGTTTTGCTCTTACCTTTTTGATAGTTCACAGCAAACAGTGAGGTTTCTACCAGCATCTTTTGATCCATTGATAATCAAAATGATTCATTTCTCGTCTTACTAGACATGAGTTATACTCTCGATTATGTTGACCACAATCTGCTCATTAATAAGCTCAACACTCAGTTTTTCTAGAACAGGCTTGGTTTTTCTTTTACCTGTTTGATAGTTCACAGCAAACTTTTTTTTAACAATATCTTGTCTGATGTCGATAACTTGCCTTTTGGCGTGCCAGAAGGGTCTGTTTTAGGCCCTCTCTTGTTTCTTTCGTAGACTACTGATGTTTTTGATATAATCCAGTGTTAAAAATTTAAATACAATGCCTTCGCAGATAAAATGCAAATCATTGTTAGTAGTGCCACTAATTCTGTCAATTTTTTTATTGTTTGGCTGAAAGTCCTGTCTCATTGATGTTGACAAGTGGATGATGCTAATAGACTAAAATTTAACCAATAGATAACTCAAATTTTCCCCATGGCACCTGGCGACAATATCTATAATGTGTACTTCATCTGCATCGATGGTAATGATATAATGATATTAATTTTTGAAGGTCTGAATGAGCTAATACTAATGATACTATTCTATCAATGGATATGTATATTAAACAGCTGACCAAAGTTCTTGTCAACTTTGCTTCCTATAAAACTTGAAATCACTTGATAACAAGGCACCTACATACCTTATCAAAAGGTCTGTGGTTTACAATCCACACTCCCATGAAAACAAACATTATCTACCTATTGTCCCTCCCACAAAGATGGCTTCTGGTACAAACAACTTTGCAATTGTTGGGCCTGCCATGAGGAACAATCTGCCGTCCAGTCTACGTTCATCTGGTTTGTCCCTTATAAACTTTTGTAACAATCTAAAAACTTTCTTACTTGCTCAGTGAATGTTGATATAAGCAGTGTCTTTGAAATATTTTATAAATAAGTGCATTATAAATCTCTTCAATAATAATAACTATACATTCACCGACGCAAATCCAAATTTTGGCCAATTTTGGTCAGAGCCAGATTTGGAAAAATGGCATAAATTTGGCTGGAGCAGAATCCTGGTGCAACCCTGTTGTGGCATGCTATTGTGCAAAAGTTTATACCTGGGTAGTCACGATAGATAACTTGTCCTGGGTAGATTGCATCCAATCCAGGACACTTTTTCAATTTTTCGACGATGATGATAATGATGATGATAGTACAAAGAAATGTATACAAGATGTTACTTGAATACTACATCAATTAATCATTGGTATATTGGGTGCTCAATAGATGGCAAGCTCTTACTATTCGACCTTGTTAACTGTTGTCCAAGAATCTACCCATTGACCTTCACCTTTTATTGTTAATGCCTCAATTCTTAACTTATCATAACACTAATAAAATCATTCAAACTCATTATTTAAAAGTTGTTAAGAAATAAACACCTCTAAGAAATACATACAAATCTGTACTTAACATAGCACCAGATATAAACTACACTATAAAAGCGCTACAAATATTTCATGCACTCAAAACACTATGTTGTTTACATAGTCTCAAACTGTTTGGCATCACAGAATTACTCATCATTCTCACACATCAAGCATGCAACTCCCTCCTGATACAGCATTGCTATATTAAAAAAAATTCAGCAACTACAAATTCTCAAGAAAAAAAAGTTCATGAATTAATAATTAATTTAATAATATAATAAATAAAAATTACATGTGAGATGAATAGAAAAATTAAAAAAATGACCTTTTCCTCTTTGATCACTTCTGTTTTTCCTGTAGGATGCCATGCCACTCTCACGGAATCTTTGTGAAGAGCTCTAAAAAAGCCGACATCATCATCGTCATCTTCATCACTAGTGAAGTAACGTGAACTTTCTAGCACAACACCTAGCTTATGCTTATTTTCTCCAGAAAACTTTTTAGGCAAAACGACTTCAACAACATCTTCTTCAAACATTTGAACAGTGAAAGCAATTATCAAAATATATTCTATTTAGGTAGGTGGCCAGTGGGCATGGAAATTTAGTTGCACTGGCTCGCTTATTCTTTGACTGCAAAGAATAACTTTGTTTGTATGTTGTTGCACCCCTTGTGATTGATTGGCGGTTAAGGTTCAAGAAAAGTCGCTGTAGAACAAATTCAGGAGTCTAAAAAAATAAAAGTAATACGTTAAATTTCAATTCAATAAAATATAAAAATTGCAGCCTTAAAACGTGCCTTAAGTCAAAAAAGTAGACATCAACTAAAACCGACCTTCAAACTAAAAGAAGATTTAAGTCACTTTGCCCTTTTAGGACTATTATATACTTTATATTTTATTTTAATTATTCATTGATTTATTTCATGCATTTGCATAATATTTATGCGTATTTAGTACTTTTTATCTGGAGTACGTGAATTTGAGATCGTCGTACTTGACAGGCATCCTCTTGTCGGATCGCAAATCTTAACGACTAAAACTAACGATCCTCAAAATAAATAAAAACACAATAAACCAACGAAGTGATTTTGGAAGTATATAAAGGAAAAAACTGCGATGCTATTCTGATAGGCATTCAAGCTGCTGAGTTCCCGTAAGGACAAAACACGTGTCCAGTCTATTCAAACAAATGCTATTTTTTCTTCTTTTCACTCCTGCTCACTGCTCTTCCAGGTTTGATGTTCTCATACATCAATGCAACCGCAACACCATGCACTTGGGACCATATATGTAGAATGAAATATATAGCCTCTCATATGATAAACAGCATTTTCGAGAGATGTAAGTGTATTAGCATATTTGTTGAGTTATTATATATTCAAATACCAATATTGAAAACCGTCAATTGTTTGCTGATGATTGCCTTTGTGGAACGGAGGTTTAATTATAAGGATAAATTAACATGTGAGCAGCAAAACTCATTTTTCTTACAGAAAAAGCCCCGTTTTATGTTGAAAATTGACTGATACGGATGTGATTAGCCAAAAAATGTTGTCATCTACGCTGCTATAGATTTTGCACTCCCGTCAAAATTTTGACCCCCCTCGTGACAATTTAAACATTTAAAATATTTTATTGCATATTTAAAAATTTTAAAAGAAAATTGAAAAGAAAGATTTTTGCCTCCAACATTCAGAAGGGATAGACGCCCCTGATCATAAAATCCAAGCTAAAAGACGAGAACTTATACTAAAAATTAATTAAGATCCACTGCTTTAAGTAATAGCGTGATCGGCTATGCGAAAAAGAATACAAGACAGTTTTCCAAACTTTTTAGCTGCTAGCTTCCCTAAAAAAACAATAATAAAATTTTTGGTATAATAATATTAAATTAGGTTTTTGATAAATTGAATTTGTGTGTTTTAAATAGGGGAAGTGTACATGGTGGATAATTTGCAAATGGGAGAATGAGTGTATTGAAAATATTGCAGATATGTTTTTGGGAATGTATTTGATTGTTGGTATGTGTGCGTTGTAACCAGAGTGTAAATGTATTGTCTATTGTGTAAGGTGTATTGGGGAAGGTGTGGGAATATTTGATCAATCATAACATGTTTATTTCAAATGTAATTTTGGGTTGTTTCTGTTGCTTTTGTATAATTGGTATTTTTTTTGGTTATTCGATTTTTTTTATCTATATAGTTTGGCAAGGGGTTTTGCCCGTGCTCATATTTAATAATAAAAATAAAATAAATAATAAAATAAATTATGTCATGCCTTCCTTAATTCTCGATAATTAACAAAATCATATCAAATCGTTACTTTGAATGTGCTTCGTAAAGTTGAACAATTGTTCGTTTCATTCGTACGTAATTTACGCGATTTTCGAAACTATTGCAATAACTTATACTTGCAAAACATTTAAATGTAATGAGATGGATACTTATCAAATCATCAAATACGCTGACGACACCTATCTTATCTTCCCATCATCTAACTCAAACACCATCCAATCAGAACTCGACTCATTAACTACATGGTCAAAACGATGCAATCTGTCACTTAATCTCATAAATCATTTGAACTCATCATTCAAAATAGCCGTAAGAAGATAACATAATTACCTCCAGAACACCCATCAATCACTCGCACAGGTCAATTAAAAATATTAGTCATCCCATTCACCTCCATATTTAATGTAGCACCTCATATCAATCACATCATCACAAAAGGCTTTCAAACATTTCACGCACTCAAAACACTCCGCTCACATGGTCTCAGAGGCACCAAATTATTCGAAATCACTGAAACACTCATAAACTCACGCATCAATTATGCAGCTCCATCCTGGTCTGGTTTTGCTACACACCAACAACTTCAGCAACTCTCCGCTTCAACTGCATTATATCCTACCGTCACTCATTTATTCAACACACTCGATTCAAGGCTGTTTAAGAAAGTAGAAAATAACAACAACCACGTCATCCATCCTCTACTACCACCAATCAAAACTACAACACACAACCTTCGTCAACGCAAACATAACTAACAGGTCGTCACTCAATCAACATATCAGGGAAAGACCTCAAGACATCACAAGACACCTCAAACATATTAACACAAATAAAACTATATCATTCACACAAATAGCTTTTATTTATCGATCACCTCACTAACTCACTAAGTCATTATCTAGTCTATTAAATTGCCTTTTTATGCCTCATTACTTCATTTTATTGTCAATTTATTTTATTTATATTATTATTTAACTTATTCTATTTTATTTTTCATGTTTAAACATTTTTCTTTCTCCGTTTATTTGTTTACTTAATCTTTTAATTTTATACTACTACCTTGCATGCTGTTTCTGCGTCTGTCAGATCCTGATTTTTAAAGAATAAAAAAAGTTTATTATTTGTTTTTATTATCTGTATTTGTTCTACAAGTCTGTATTACATACGGTTTGAACATTACGTAAGTAGGTAGTGGAGAATGGAATTGGTGCTAACAATGCTCGTTTGAATAAATTCGGATATACCTATTAGGTATATATATATTTTTAAGCTTCGTTAGTCATTATTTATTAAATCAAACTTGGCTTTCAGAGTGTTTGGCTCAAGAGAATATATTTTGATTTCATCTGGAACCTTATTCATATTAATAAACGGATTTTTTATCAAAGGATCATTTTCCAAGTTTTCAACATCAAAATACCGCTCAAAAGATGATTTGAAGTTTCGTGATGTATTGTAATGCACTGTCCCAATCCGTTATTTCCGTTGGTAATAATTTTTTCAGTTTTACATTAACACATGGAATGTTGGCAAGTTTTTAAGCTTCTACTGTCTTTGTACCTAAGCTTATTTAAAATGCTAACCCGTTGTCTGCATCCACATCTGAAATTTCCAATACATTAAAAAAGTAAATTCATTCATTATTCAAATGAGTATAGGTACTACGTTATAAGCATGAGTACCTATAAGTAAATGTATTTCTGAAACTCCTTAAACTCAGTGAAAAAATAGGATCTCCAGATTTTTAACAATTTAAGCCTTTCAAAATTTTTTGTTTAAAATCAAACATAAGGAAAAAACAGATTACTGGTTTTTTTATTGTCTGAGAAGGACTCTTAACATAGCCTTTCTCTTCGTCTACGTTTGTCAACTTGTCGTGCAACCTACACATTGTTAGGTTGTTGGTATATTTATTAACACTGTCAAAGAAAAACTCACGCACGCACACACACACACACACACACGCACAAACACACTCAGTCAAATGTATTTTTCATTGAATATTTGTATATGCTGTGCGGTCTATGAAATAATTTTCTGGTGGTTATATATAACAATAACGACTAAAATTAATATTATTAGGTGAATAGTGGTTGATAAATGGAAACAAAAATCAGTAAAAAGTTGAAAGTAAGATGGTTAAAGTACACAGAAGGTGATACAAAATGTTGTTTGTTGATTCGGATAAAAACAATAAATACGAAAATTTTGATGTTGATGATGTTAAGAATGATTACGCTATTCATCTCATGTCATCCATCTTGCAAGTCCCATGCACTTTCTCCTCCCTGACCGATTGACTGATCATTTGAGATTATCGTATGGCTGGCCTTTTTGTGTTTAGCCTTTTTCTTTGTAGAAGTTTGGGACGACGTTAATGAAGTTGTGAACAGTTTTTGCTTTAAATTAGTATTTGCTTCTGACGGTTCAGATTTTACATCTTCACATGCTTTGTGCTTTCTATTTTTATTTTGCTTTTTAACTTTGGGTGTTTTTAAATGATTTTTTTCACTATCATTACTATCACCATCATCATCATCAGTTATTTTTTTATTACATTCGTTAATGTCGTCAGTAATATCAGCATTAACGGCAAATGCATCAGTTAATATGTTCATTTTGTCTAGATCTTCCTCCATAATCATGCATACATCACTGTATTTCTTGGCCACAACGTGAACATCTTCATCTTCTTTCAAAGACCTCTCAATTAGATGGGCAGTCTGGATCGCCCTTTCAATTGCCAAATTACAGCAGAGTAAAATCTGATCAGCAGTTGTTAGGGCGCGACTGCCTAATGTCTGCATCAAACAGATCTCTCTTTGTTTGTTTGCAGCAATTATCACCTTCCAGTCACAACACTTTTCTTCCAAATCGGTAGGATCCATTATAACAACTGTGCTGTCACTTGTAAGTGAAAAAAAGGCAAAAGTGGTGCAAACAGGAATGTGCAAAAGATTTAAAGGCAGAGGATCACGATCTTCGTTTGTGTGAACTATTGTTTCTAACCCACAATATGTTACATCGGGTTTTCGAAAATGTTTCAAGGCACCAATGCCAGCCAACATCAATGCATCTATTAAGTTACCTGAGTGATTTAGAACATGGAGGTCAACTTTTATTGTCATAGCAGATGTCCCTGATTCGATGCACAGGGATTCTAAATCGAGGCAATTCGATTCTCTGAGACATCGCTCCAACAGTCTGTTGACCTCAATGATATCATCTGTGGTAGGTGCACTGTTTGGTATGGCAGCAAATGAACCCATTAAAGGGGACAATTCAACATTTACCCTCACCATGCCTTCATTTGGTCGTGAATCTTTAGGCGTTGACAGTTCCCAGGATATCTGAGCAACTACCTGTTTCAGAAATATTAATTTGTTTGTTATAAAATACAGTTTATAGCATTTTAATTTCAGACAAGACAATTATTAGATAACATTCACAGAGGTGAAACTTTGTTAAATTAAATTAATAAATTATATATAATTTTTACATAAAATAAATTGTGAAACAAATATGACAATCAACAACGAGGTAATACCCCCCAAGTGTACTACATTAATATTCCAAAGTTATGTCAGAAGTAAATGTTTTAAAACCAGGACCCTAACTTTTCATATATTTTAACCATACAATTTTATTTATACCAATTTACGGTGTTCATTTATTTACCTTATTTCAATTTATGCCCTATTGTCCATTAGTGATTAGTGTTACAACTTTATTGTTCAGATATCACTATAATTTATGAAATATGTAAACTTTTAATGCAATTTGTTTGAAATATGAAATATGTAAATTTTAATTTAATTTATATTCGTATAAAAATTAAGCATTTAGTTGTAAAAAACTTCATTAGCTATTGGAATTGAATGTTATTGATTGAGTGGCAGTAGCCTTTTTATGCTATGCTGTTGGTTTAGTTTCAACATATTAAGATTAAAGACTACTAAACTAAACAGATAGCCTTCTTATAGTGAGTCCACATTTCTTAGTTGTGCCTCATTTATTGATTCTACAACAATATGTAAGCATCTCATTATTGAAGCATCATGATTATGAGTGATTTGAATAGGATCTTTTTGAAAAATTTAATCAACCAACATCAAAACTTTTCAAAGCACAAAGTGCTTGTCTTAATAAGAGATTTTGTTTCAAGCAGCAAGCAATGTCATTATTTTTATAATAAAGGTGGGTAAAACCTTAGCCCTCCAAGCGTAGGTTGTTTAAATTATAATATAATAATATTGAAAACCTTTATAAAATTGACCTCACTATATATATAGTATATAGTAGCTATTCTATATTAACTATAAATAAGTTATAAGATAAGCCATTCTCATTGCATTGCTGATCATTCAAAAAGTTCTTGACAAAAACTAATCAGTACAAAATCACATCAACAAAAATAAGGTCCCACCCCCACCTACCTTTGTTTCTCCAAGATCAACAAAACAGCAGCCCTTGCTACCTTCGTATCTTATTTTGATTGATCTGTACTCCCTGGGACCGCGTCCATCCAGACGATATTTTTCAGCTATTACCGCCCGTACGAATTCTTTTTCCGTATTTGACAACATTTAACAAAATAAATAAAAATTGATTATTCACAAAATAGTTATTGACCGAAATGTTTAATAAGAAATGTAATTAAATCACTTTTAAATCCTGACGCAACCCAACGTGAGGAAGCGATAATAAACAAAATACAACATAAACATGTAAAATATATTATTGTAAATAACATTTAGTTCTTTGTTTTTATTGAAAGTAACCAAAGTGAGGCCTGTCAAGTTCGACTACCTATATATATATATATATATATATATATATGATTTTCTTAAAAACTGTATATATATATATATATATATCCATGAGCACGACCATCTTGATTCAATCTTAATTCAACACGAGCTCAAACCAGCGTGACTATGAGACAAGAAAAACGATACTTAATATGCTAAAATATCATGCAAACGCATGGAATATTTTTTATATATGAAATCTTATATATTATATTTTTTATCTCCTAAAATCCACTTTTATTCTTGTATAGTTTGAAACTTAGATAAATAAATAACAGCCAGTGCATCCACGTCGTGGGGAATGGGCAAAGGCAGGCCCGGAACTAGAGGGGGCAAAGGGGGCAAGCGCCCCGGGCGGCAAATTTAGGAGCGTCAAATTTTAGACATTTTTTAAAAATTTGAAAAATTTATTCGCATTTGTTATAATATGGATGATGGATCAAAGTAAATTTGATTTTTTTATATTTTTTTTTAATTTTTTTTGGTTTGTTTTTTTTCTATGTAAAGATTAAAATATAAACGCAAATATTATGAGCAGAATCTTTATCTTATTTCTTATTTGTAATCTTTCCCTTATTTGATTTAAAATCACGCCGCGAAAAATGTCGTATAGTATAGTAGGTTAGTTTAGTCGTTTTCATGTTAGAAAATAAAAATGGATGGCAGAAAAAAACTTAGTGGAGCTGAATACAGAAGAATTGCTAAAGAATTACAGAATTGCTGTCACTAACGCCAAAATTAGAAACGTTATTCAACAAATCTAATGTTAATGTTAGTATTATAGTGAATAGTGATAAAGAGGGCTCAAAAGAAAAATCAGGTAAATATTTTTATTATTTCAAATTTTATTAATTGAATAATGGAACATTATGCACAATGTGTATTAATTATGCATCCTTTTGAATAAAATAATTTTTTTAAATATTTCGTATTTAGATGACATGGAAGCTAAAGAAGAGATCAAGGAGAAAGTATTTTGGTTCAACTTCAATCCAACAAATGAAACTGTAGAAGAATTATTACCTCAACAAGACCCCACAACAAGTCTTCAAAAGACATCTAAGTTCCCTTTTGATTTCAGTGATCCTGGTTCATGGCCACAAAGTTTTTCTGATTCAGAAAGATGTTTCATAACAAAAATGAGATTTGAAAATTTAACTGAACCAAATTTGAGTAACAGTAGCCGAGAAGGACGCAATTTAACTAAAGACTGGTTTTATAAAGTTCTCAAAAATGGAGAAAAAATGAAAAGATCATGGTTAGCCTATAGTGAAAGTAATAAAGCTCTCTGTTGTATTCCCTGCAGACTGTTTCCACACTTAGCTTCAAATCAAATGTCTTCTTTAACTAAAGAAAAAGGACTTACCAATTGGAAAAAACTTAATGAAAAGTTGCCTGAACATTTTTTGGAACTTTGAACAGCTTGTATTCTTTTTTTGCACTTTCAACTTCACGTTGGGAAGTTCTCAAAGAAAATGTGCCGATAACATTAAAACCTGAAAGCAAAACAAGATGGTCTGCAAGATTAGATGCAGTCGAAGCTGTATATAAACATTATAGTAAAGTTCTGCAGACTCTAGAAGATCTTAAAAACTATGATTTCTCAACTCCTAAAACTGTGAATGAGGCCAGCTCTCTTTTGAAAAATATTCAAAAACTTGAATTTATCGTGATGGTTAGATTTTGGCATGCATTGTTAGAAAAGATTAACCATGTAAACGAATTTTTACAAAAAAAAGATTTAACAGTTGATTTGGCTGCCCGAAACCTCAAAGGTCTTTTGACACTTATGAAGTCTTGCAGAGAGTCTGCACCATCTGAGGCCATTGCTGAGGGTAAATTGTTAGCAAAAATGAATAATCTAACATCTGCATTTTCAGAAAAGAGACCAAGATGGTTAGATTTTGGCATGCATTGTTAGAAAAGATTAACCATGTAAACGAATTTTTACAAAAAAAAGATTTAACAGTTGATTTGGCTGCCCGAAACCTCAAAGGTCTTTTGACACTTATGAAGTCTTGCAGAGAGTCTGCATCATCTGAGGCCATAGCTGAGGGTAAATTGTTAGCAAAAATGAATAATCTAACATCTGCATTTTCAGAAAAGAGACCAAGAATGAAAAGAAAAATAGCTGATGAATTGTGCAATGATGAAGCTCTGACAAGTGTTGAAAATATGTACCAAGTGACTATGTTAGAAATCATTGACAGAGTGATTACAGAACTTAGTGACAGATTTGAATCTTTAAATAATGTAAACAGTATGTTTGGGTTTTTGAGTGGTGTTAAAATTGAAGAAATGCAGACAGCAGATCTAAAAATTAAAGCCGAAAATTTGGCAAATATATACTCAGCTGATCTCAACATTGATGAATTCATGTTTGAAATAGAAAGTTTCAAGCATCACGCTTTGACAGTTGACAAAAGTTTAAAAAAAGCCACATCAAAAAAAATGCTAAGTCTCATTTATAAAAATAAATTAGAAGAAGGCTACCCTAACATCACTACTGCATTGAGAATCTTTCTCACGTTGCCTGTCACAGTGTCATCTGGAGAACGAAGTTTCAGTAAACTCAAAATCATCAAAAACTACATGAGAAGTACAATGGGACAGGGGAGACTTTCCAATTTAAGCATAATTTCAATTGAACACAAACGAGCATCTCTTATCAATTTTGATGATATAATCAATACATTTGCAGCTAAAAAAGCTAGAAAGATTTGTTTCTAATATAATATAATATAATATACGAAACAATTACTTGATAAGTTGACAAATGACATTGTTTGTAATACAAAGTTTTTCAATTTTTCGCGTTTTATAACTATAATATAGTTGTTTTTTTCTATGTCAAGTATCTGTGTTAACATGCATATTGATATGTCCATAAATAAAACATTTTATTAAGAAACATGTAATATGTAATTTAAAAAAATGCATTTATACACCTTACGGTAGTAGCATAATAACGTCGTGGGGGGGGCGGCACACTGATTTTTGCCCCCCCCTGGAAAATACCCTAGTTCCGGCCGTGCTGTAGAGAACCGATAATTCATTAATATAGCATGTTGGACAATGGATAATTCAATATGACGATGATAATGTCACTTTGGAATCTGTTGTTACCTGGAACTGCGGCTATTCACTGGCTTAATTGACTACCTGCGGAGACAAAACGATCCTTCAATGAGCTAAAAACTTGTGTTCATAGACATTATAACCCAAGAGTTGCGCTGGAAAACTTGAAGTGACATATGGACAGCAAAACAGGGTGTTCGAGAATCAGTGGATGTTTACTTTTTCAGAATGCATGCACTTGCTTCCAGTGCCGATGTGGATGAAAATGACATCAATCAGCCGTTATTCAGCCGTTGAGCTAGGTTTAAGAGATGACATTTAAAAAGGAGTGACGTACATGCAACCGGGTAACATATGAGTTGTTGGAAGCCGCGAAAATGGTAGAAGCTAACATTTCGAACTGCGACAGTAACGATTTGGAGAATTCACTAATAGCAAAAATTACAACATTACTTAATACAGTTCAAAATAATATAAAAAAAATACAAATCCAACGAGAGTGAGAACGTGAACAGACTAACACATAATTCAAGAAGCGACAAAAATTCAAATTATAAAATAAATAATTACAATATAATCGAGGTCCATTTCGTCGGCATTCAAAAATTCATCTACAATTTTAAAGCGTTCAATGGGAAGGAAACAAACATGAAAAGCAAGTTGGATTTAATGAAGGTGACCAACACAGAACATTTTCAAGTTGGATTTAATGAAGGTGACCAACACAGAACATTTTCAAGTTGGATTTAATAAAAGTGACCAACACAGAACATTTTCAAGTTGGATTTAATGAGGGTGGCCAACACAGAACATTTTCAAGTTGGATTTAATGAAGGTGACCAACACAGAATATTTAACAACAAATGTAACTGCTCAGAATCACTGCCCAGCATTTACCAAACGATGTTAAAAGTGTTCTAAAAGTAACCGTTTCCCAAACGTTTGTCGTCCGTAGACAACACGGCGATCACGCACTACTCGCACCTGCCAACAGTCGCAACATTTCATATCAACATTTTACACACGTCATAACAAAGACACATTTCAAAAAAAAGCACTAGCAAGATTCAACCACGTCATCCATCCTTTAGTACCACCAATCAAAACTGCCACACACAACCTTCGTCAACGCAAGCACAACTATCAAGCACAACTATCAAAACGATCCTTCAATGAGCTAAAAACTTGTGTTCATAGACATTATAACCCAAAAGAGTTGCGCTGGAAAACTTGAAGTGACATATGGACAGCAAAACAGGGTGTTCGAGAATCAGTGGATGTTTACTTTTTCAGAATGCATGCACTTGCTTCCAGTGCCGATGTGGATGAAAATGACATCAATCAGCCGTTATTCAATGCACTTATTGATAGCGAAAAAGTTGCAACAAGATTAAATCTATTAAAACAATTAAAGAAGAACGATATTTTAGATGTTCGTTGAGCTGATGGACAGCCGATAAAAGGTTTAGGCACAATCTGTTGATTACAGATAACGCCAGTAACAATGAGTGCATTGAAATGGTGATTGCCTGTGCAAATGTGAATCTTTTTTTTTGTTATTCTTAAAAAAAGGCCCTTTTTACAATCTGTTGATTGTGCCAAACACATACGTTGTAACTCAACATTCTTAATTGAATGTCACATTCTACGTTATATGTAATCTTTGTAATAACTTTATTTTAGGAATATATTTTTTAAATGGTCATAATGCAAAAATAATTATTAAAAATGGCAAAATTACTTTCTTATCTCAAACATTAATGATTTAATGATTCATTACCTCATAAAAATAATTATACTTTCATTGCAGAAAAAATTTCAGCTCCTCCGCACACAAAAACAACATTCAACACCCTTTTAACAAACAAACTTAACAATAATAAAACATACATAATAGAACCTAAGGATAAATCTATGGCACGTAAAATTTCACATTCATCATATGATACCATTATTTGCCACCTGATAAACATTTCAAACACATACCTACGTATTTAACCAAACACAGACAGAGCGCGTCGTGGGAGGGGCGGCACACTGATTTTTGCCCCCCTTGGAAAATACCCTAGTTCCGGCCCTGGGCAAAGGCACAGGTAAGGATGTAGATGACGGGTATGCCAGCTGGCCAAAGGAAAGGCTAAATTGAGTTTAATCACTAGTCCAGATTACTTGGATGCCAAAGCTGAGTACGATTAACCTGGTAGCGCCAAAGTCAGTACCTTCCACTGTGCTGGCTAAAGTTAGAGTGGTCAGAATAAGAAAGCTTTTGTAGAATGGAACGTAGACTGGCAATGTATATATGTAGCGTGCTTTTTATTTTTTAAATCCACTACTTTTTAGCTTCAATAAATTAAAAGTAGAGCTCTTTAGGCGTTGGAATTACTAATTGTGGTTTTCCCTTTGGCAGCTCCTGCAACCAATTTGATGCTAAATGCCTATAGATTACGTCAAAAAGGTCGAGAGAGAAATCTTGATGCATGTTTCCGTATTTGACAACATTTAACAGAATAAATAAAAATAAATGCCCAGAAATGCGCCCAGGGTTGCCTTTGACGGTGGGATAGAATTTTGTACCCTACTGTTCAGCTAACGCCCGCCTAATCTGGACAGCTCCCAGACAATAAGATGCTGATACGCTACAGCCTGCCTGCTCTAATGGGTGATTAGAGCTTAGAATAGATCAACAAACAAGTGTTGGTGTTGAAGATTTTTGCCGGAATCAAAATTTGTTCTTTGGCTGGATTTGGAATCGGAGCCAGACGTATTTCATCCGACTCCGGAAAATGTTATGAAATTGAAAAATTTGTTATTCTAAAAATATTTTTTATAAATGACGTTTTTTAGAAGATAAAAATGTGTATCGATATGCAATCATATTTATCAACGAAAGTATATACTTAAATAATGTGAATAAAATGTAAAGTAACTAACTTAACTGACTCTGTTTACTTTCGTGTGCCGTGTTTTGTTTTCTATATTATTCGTTTCATCAAGTTAATAAAAGTATTAGCGGGTTTGTTTTCCTGCGATTATTTTAAAAATTTTTTTTCAAATAGATTTTTATATTTTTAAATTTGGCAATGCCTCCCGGGCGTACCATAATAAATAAAAAATTATATAAATAAATATTATTATATTAATAATTAAAATTAGTATTATTTTGTGATTGATTGTAGGGTGTAGGGTAGGCGCAGGGAGCATAAGCATAAAATAGAATAAAATAGCAATAGACATACTGATGTGAAAGTATCAGACATTCAACTAACTAATATCTTTATTTTCATTGCATTGATTGAATGTTGAATCAATGATCAATAACATGGAAAACTAGTCAGATGTTTATCGTACCATACCTTTGTTTGAAATTTGAATTCAGTCACTCAATCAATCAGTGGATTGATTAATTGATTGACCTTTGTTTGAAAAAAAATTACAATTAAAATAAATTTATTAATTTAATTTAAATTATCTTTTCACCGAAAGAAAAAAGATATAGTAGTTAGTTTTTCATTAGTTCAATTCAATAGTAGTTCAAATAGATTAGAACGTAATTTTCTTTATCATTGTTTTTATTTTTATTTTTTTAGACATTCAGAGATGCAGACAGAGCTAAAAAAAACTTTTTATATTTTTTAGGTAAACATTTCATTAATGTCCATAAAAATGTAAATCATATAATCAACAAGGCAGTTGTCATACCTTTGAAAAATGTTAAAATATGTATGAATCCGTTTTAATTATTTTAACTAATATAATTATTATAATTAATGTCATGGTTAATATTATTATTATATGTACACTAGGGATATGACAATTTTTAAAGACCCTATCCCCATGTTATTTTTTGTGGAGTTTTAATGCAAAGATCAAGAAAAATCCAATGGCAAGTGTCAACTTTAAAAAAATGTCACCCTCTTAATTAAATTTATATTATATATACATTGTACAAAATGGTTTTTTTAATCAGAAATACAAACATACAGGTTTTAGTGTTCATTTGTCAAAAGAAATTTAATGTTAATTTTTCAATGCTTTTGCACAATAGAAGTAAATCCTGCAGAACTTTAATTGTACGTTCAGCACAAATGTTTGACCTTTGAGTTGAGATTGGAGTCGGCTCAACCGACCAAAAAGTCCTTAAAGTCTTTATTGCCTTTGATCTTTGCAAACGGCTGCCAAATTATTGTAGTTATCCTGATTATAAACCTGACCTGAAAACCAGATGTCACTCCACGTGCCAGTAATAAAGTCACATGATGACTGACCTTCGGCTGACTGTCAAAATTCTGGAAGTAAAATATAAGCTAGCAAAGCATAGATTGCTCGGCATTTATATCTTGCATTGCTTATATTTGGCAAAGTTCTGAAATTTACTTTAGGAAGCATCCTGTTTTCTTAAACTGTCTGTAACAAGTGATCAAGTGATGAAGGAAAGCCATATCATTTCTCCAAACAATTTCTTGAGAACCACTGTCAGAATCTTGTTTTTCTTCTTCAGTGTTAAAATGTTCTTCATCTTTACTGCTTAAATCATCCTTAGTATCTTGACTGACTCTTTGCTGTTCTTCATCTTCACTGTTTAAATCATCCTTAGTATCTTGACTGACTTTTTGCTTAATCAACTTTAGTTTTCTAGGATGAACTCGTTATGTATCTTCAATTGTGGTGCAGTAGCCAGCTCTACCATTTCTTGACTTCTGAAGATTGTTATTTATTTCTAATTAAACTATTTCTTTAACTAGCATTAGTCACACGCTGTAAAACCCCCGTTATTAGTTTAACACATCTTTCCACAGATTTTATAACAACATTTAACATAACATTTAATAATGAGCGTAGATTAAAATCCATGTGCTCATATCTAATATGTGATAATAATTTAAATGTCCAAAAAACAATAATAATATGAAATAGTATTAAAAAATAAATAAAATAAATACGTCTATCTAGGCGCTTCCGCTCTCCAGTTGTATTTAAAACTTTCATTCTTCCAATAATCATCCAAGGAATTTTTAAATATGTCAACAGTGGCACAGTTCACTATATCGGCAGGTAATTTATTCCACACAGGAATGGTACGACAAGTAAAAAATGCTTTTGCAAGTTACCTTTGAACCCGATATTCCCAAGTTTTTTATCATGTCCTCTTGTTCTCTAATTTAAGTACAAAGATATTTTAGGATAACAATCTTGATCATTCAGGTCAAGAAATTTTTTAAACAACAAAATCAGATCTCTTCTAACTCTTCGGTATTTTAACGTTAGCAACCCCAAATATCTAAGCCTATCCTCGTAGTTTAGCCCCCTGCATTCCCTTATCATTTTTGTTGCTCTCTTTTGAACCCTTTCAATATGCTCTACCATCTCAACCTTCCACGGCGGCCACACTGGAACCGCACATTCTAGAACTGACCTAACTATTGTTTTATATAAAATCAAGAAAAAACTTTTATTGAGTTATTGAAAATGCTTGTAAATCATGCCCAACATATAACCTTTCTTTACAACTATAAAAATATGATCATCAAATTTTAAATTATTATTAAATGTAACACCCAGATTCCTGAAATTATTCACACAATTGAGATTTAAATTATTAATACAATACAAATTTTTATCATTATTCTTGCCAAACCTCATGCCAACACATTTTTCCACATTCAACAAAACATCATTCCTTTCACACCATTTGACAATCAAATCCAAAACATTCTGGGTAATTCTGGCATCATCATGAGATTCGATTCGTTGAACAATTTTGCGTCATCTACAAACAAAAACAATTCAACACCTTCACCATCAGCACAAACATCAAACAAATCATTAATGTAAATGGTAAACAAAATTGGCCCCAACACGCTCCCTTGAGGCACTCTACTTTGCACACTACTTTGCCAATCCGATCGAACATCATTAACCACAACAGAAAATTTTCTATTCTTAAAATACCCTCTAATCCAACTGATTATTTTATCGTCAACCCTGTATAGAATTAATTTTTGTAACAATTTTGTGTGGGACACCTTATCAAAAGCCTTTTCAAAGTCCGTGTAAATAACATCCACCTCCTTCCCAGTGTCCACCGCATCCGACCAATTATCCAATATTTTCAACAACTGCAAAGTCGTAGATCTACCTTTCATAAATCCATATGGATATTAATTAAACAAACTATTATCGTTAAAATGCAGCAACAGTGCTTCTTTAACAAAATATTCTAAGACTTTACATGAGATACAACTTAGTAATACCGGCCGATAATTTTTAACACAAAAAGGCGATCTTTTCTTAAAAATTGGAACGACATAACTTAATTTCCAATCACTTGGTAAAAACCCAGAATTTAAAGAAATTTTAAATAAAAAATTTAGATATTCACACACTGAACCGACGCATTCTACAAGTACACGTGAAAATAAGCTATCAGGGCCTGCAGATCTAAATTTATTCAATAAAACTAATTTATTATAAACTGAATGGCTTAAAATTTGTAATTCCATCATTTCTTTAATACCATATTTATTTATTTCAACATCATACTGAACACCATCCCCGTTACTATAAACGCTATCAAAAAATGAAGTCAGAGCGTTAACCAATTATGTGGTAGAGAAAGTCGTCAATTTCTAATTATTATTATCAAAACATTTCTAAATCGTCAACTAAATCGATATCTCAAAGGCGCTATCACATTCATATTAAATTTACGATCACAAAATGTTAGCAATAAATCCACAAAAATCAACAACAATAATCGAACCTGATAAATAATTTCAATCCCAACAGCTTCACCTGCAAATAAGCTGTTTTCATTCACCAAATAATAGAGCCAAATAGAAACATTCACCAAAATAAATAAATAAACATCAACCAACCGCATTAAAAAGAGAATCAAACATCGAAACCGAAATGATATACAAATTGTATAAAAGTCACAAAAACATAACAAAACCAAAAAAATAATAAATTTCTATAATGTGAAAAGATAAGACTTTGTAATTTTTTAAACGAAAATAAGCTTAAATCAAGATTTCTTAAATAAGATTGCAAACTGTTCCACACAGTGGGACCACAAACAAAAAAATTTTTTTTCTATTTCTGAGCTTGGTAGTTGGTACTGTCAAAAAATTTGAGTTGTTTGACCTGAGTGGAATAATTTATTGATTGATTTTTAAACTGCCTTCCACGTTTTTTTCTGAAAAATTAAATACCATTAATATTTAGTCTTTTTTAGAACAAAATGCGAGACTAAAAAGAATAAAATGAAACAAATTAAACAAAACTGAATTTTTTTTTATAAACTCGAAAGAATTTTTATGATGGTTTTATGAAATCAAGTGTAACTACACCGTTGCAGAGCGTCACATCCCACGTTTTCTGAATTCTAAATTATTATTATAACTACTTTTTCTAATATTTTTATTGCAAAGTAAATGATTTTTTCTAGCAAACAAATTTTTTTCGATCACATGAACATTGAACATTGATCATGCACACAGACACGCTTATCATGCTTCTCACTCAGTCCACTTGCCGCATATACCTTCAACATTAATTTTCGGAAACCCGATATCCACAGCAATAGTGGGACAACATATCAGTCCATTCCTCACTGTTTTTGTTGCTCAGTTCTATATCTCTTGCTAGATTTATTTTTTATAATTTTATCAAAATTTCCTCCAAGCTTCTGCAACGTCTGATCTCTTGTCAGCAACATTAATATTCTTTCATTTGGCATATCTCGCACAAATTGATGACAAGGAAATTGAGTAAATTTTGAAATAAATGTAGCTTCCTATATAATCACTTTACATGGTACTTCTTAATGAGTGAAATTTGTACAGTGCACAAAATAAGGTGTAACATCTTTATTGTAATTATTTAAATTTGTTTATATTAATTTTTTATAGGCTCCAATGAGGGTAGGATCTGATTTTCAAGCTGAAATTCCTGAACTATTAAAATGTAATTCAAATTTCAATGTTTATTTTTTTTTTTATGTCTCAGTTGTTTATTAATAACATGTTAACAGGGTAACTCTTGATGGCTAGTCAAATATTTTAGGCGATTGCTTTTTTATGTTCGATGGGTTTCTAACATATATTTAATTGTTGCTATGAATTATTGAATTTTTTAAAGAATAGGATTAGAATAATTGCATTAATTAAAATTTTATTTAGAAATAATTTGAACTACTGTAATAAAAATAAATGTGACATGGATGGCACGGAAATAATTGTTGCAGGCGTGCAATCTCCGACACCTACAAATTTGTTAAGATCGTTGGCCTCACCAGTCTGGCAACCTAACTCACCCAATCTGGATGCCAAAAGTGAATTTCTTTGTGACCAATTATTTTTTTTTCTATTTTGAAGTTTTTAATTGAGTTAATTTTTTTATTAGTTGATTTCTACACTGACCATGCCATGTCGAAATATAGCTACACACAGGAACAGGTTTGTTCAGTCGACTTTTTAGCATTATGTTTTTTTATATTGCTTACGTGTTTCTAATTTTGATGTTTTGTTTATCCAATGTAGAAGGCATGATTCTAACTTATGTATATGAAGGCAAGATTTTCTATATTAATATCTTGTCATTATCAGATATCTAAAAACTAAATAGTTAAAATTAATATAAGCTATAGGTGCTGAAATAATTTTGTAACTTCACTAATTAGAATTTAAACTTTTGGACGCCAGGCACTTGGGTTGTTGTTTTGGCACAAACACAACGTTGACAAGGCCCTGGCAGACCTGCCTCAATATGCTCCAGCTCCAGATGATTGGTGCACCGAGGACAGGGTCCTCTTTGAACAGGCATTCACATTTCTTGGCAAGAACTTCAACAGAATACACAATATGGTTCATTCAGCATACTATATATATATATATATATATATATATATATATATATATATATATATATATATATATATATAAGTAAAGTTTGGTAGAAGTTCTACTTGTAAACATATTTTATTAAATAGATATGTCTCAATTATTATGTTAGAACGTGATTGATATTGATGGAGAGTTTTCACTTTGCAGTTGCCTGAGAAGTCGGTGGGAAGCCTGGTGAAGTATTATTATTCGTGGAAGAAGAGGAAGAACAATGTCAGCTCTATGGACAGACAAGCGAGTAAAATGCTCCATCAAGATTTTCAAAATAGGTATATGATAACATTTTTTTTAAATATTGAAGAAATACATGCAGTGAAAGCATCCTAGCCATCAACGCTAATTTAAGGGGTTCCGAAAGTAAAATTAATCTAAGATTTAAAATCTAAAAAATTTAATTACATTACAAATAAAAATGGAACCACTGTGAAAAACTAAACTGCAAAACTTTTGAGAATTAAAATGAACAGAATAAACTCTACAGCGTAAATTGTACATAAAATTGTGCTTAAAATTGTACAAGAAGTTGTATATAAAGTAACCGTTGAAGTAATTAGTGGTTAATAAAAATAGTAAAAAAATAACAGTAACTCTCTTAAAATAATAAGATTAGCAATCTACAAGAAGCATTTATGAAACGAATGCAGTTGCTAGAATTGTTTTTTTTGTTGCCGCCGAAGTGTTCATGTTTAATGACCTCCCAAGACCCTCAACTGCTTGCTCACGCATTGAATACTTCTTTACATCTCAAGTTACTTGCGGTGAAACATTTCTGGTAGCTAATTGTAAGCTGGACCGTGTTGAACCTAACGGTTATTTCATAGCACTCATATAGTTAAAATGTTCAGTCATAGTTGGTGTTTTGCTTCGGAGATAGTTGGAACATTCGGTAAACGACTGAAATATTTGCTTCATTATGATAGAAAAAATGACTACATCATTGGGTATTAAAAATTTAATTAAAATTTGTTCAGTGAAAAAAATGAAGAAATTGAAAAATCTCAAAAAGTCAGTGAATGCATTTTTCATATTATCTTTTTATGTAATTAACTTCGCTTGTTTTATCAACTTTGAAATATTTTGAACAAACCGATGCTGTATGAAAGTATAAAGTTATCATTTTGCAAGCAATTTTTCTGATTTGTTCATGTTCACATCAGCAGTCTGACTACTGGATGTGCAGTAAGTGGTCTCACGCACGAAACAAAAGTTCATTCGATCTCTACCTGAACGCAGAGGAACTGCTGATGTTGATGAACGGACAGGGGGAGCACATGTTCAGCCTCCTTGATAATGAACTGTCTGCATCCAGGAAGAAGGTGTCAACTGCTTCACACCTGCTTAATGTTTTATTTTTTTATTCATAATTAGGATAACGCTCTGAAGTCTATTAAGTTTTAACTTTTACTTTTCAATATTGATCTGGTAAATTTATAGACACGGGTATAACTTGCAGCTTCATCAATGATCCCTTCTAGAACAATTTTTTTATAGGTATCCAATTTTTTTCATAGGTATCCGATTTTTTTCATAGGTATTCAATTTTTTTCATAGGTATCCGATTTTTTTCATAGGTATTCAATTTTTTTCATAGGTATCCAACAACAAAGTCATTATTGCCGGCATGAAGCGAAGATCATCTTTTGCTATAGACAAATTTAGGATTCCAGAGGTTAGTTGGTTTGTCTCCGCAACTTTCTCCACATTCTTAGGTTCTGATTACGAGACTTGCGGTTCATCTGATGTGGACCTTCGACCATATTGTTGAATACATCTTTTAATTTTACAACACGCTTTTTTATGAGAAAATTTTGTTTTTGTTTGATGAAAAAGTTATTACAATACAAGTGTCATAAATTTTTCGTTTTGATTGGCAGGTTTCACGAACACACACAACTAAATGGACGAATTCTGAATTGCTCCTGGCAGTTCAAGGTTTGTTGTTTTGTTTGGCTGGCCATGCTTTGTGAAACGGTGAAATTCAAAATGCTTACCACAGTCAACCTCATTGCTTAATTGTTAACTTAAATTTAGTTAGTTACATAATAAACAATTTGTTTCATTTTGTTTTATTTTTTATTGCAGTTTTTAGTTTATATTTTTGTGATCTTTAGACATGTTTGGCTGCATCCAGTTCATTTTTTCTTGTATTATTTTTTTGTTGGTTCGAATCTTTCAAATCTACCAAGGTATCAGACAGTACGGAACGAACTTTCAGGCTATTAGTGAGGTCATTGGTACAAAGTCGGAACATCTTGTCAGAAATTTTTTCATGAATTTCAAAGTAAGTTCCGTTGTTGCTTTCATTTGTCATCCTTCCATATCATTTTTATGACGTATTGTTTTCTTTCATGCGTTAATTTGTAACGTATTTATTTCTTAGTTGTTTTTTGGATTTTCATCTTTCTTTCACTGTTTTAGCTTAAGTTTTCAAAACTTATTATATATATATATATATATATATATATATATATATATATATATATATATATATATATTTTGATTTAATACTCAGACACGCTACAACTTGGATGAAGTAATGAAGGAATATGAAAAAGAGATGAAACTGAATGCAGAGAGCGTATGCTCTTTTTTCTTTTTAATTCATCTACCTGCCTAACTTTTTATTTGAAATAATTTCAGTGGGGCGTCTATCTCTGTGTGGTATATATGCATTCATCTTCATTACTTTATTCCAAATATGCCACTCAAAAAAAATTTGCTATATCGATAAGCTTCTTGATGACTTTTAAAAATTCATTAATTGTAAGTTACTAACAGTTCATATTTGTTTGAAACGCCATTCGATGCAGAAGCTAAAAGTTCAGCCAAGAGCTCCATTGAATGTAGGATTATTACAAGCCTTGTACAACCAAATACAACAGCCCCAGTACTTTCAACAGCACTATCATCACCATCAGCAACATCAACAACAACAACAGCAACAACGTCATCCACTGCATCAACAACAACTTCCTATTGACCAAACATTTCCATCCACAAACAAACATCAACCTTCTCTAGCTCTGAGCAACCAAGCGTATAGGTGAGCGCCGCCAGCCAACTTCTTTACATGCTGCTTCATTTTTATTGCTTTATAGTACAACAGAGATATACATATTGCAATAAATTTTAGTTAATCATTTGTCGGGCTGATATGTAGAAATTTGTAGACTTTTGTCATAATCTGATGTATAAAATATTGATGAGAACGAAGAGAGTGAATGCAAAGATGATGATGATGACGAGGATGATGATGAGGATGAGAAGGTTATCGCCAATTACCTTATCATCTCGATAGAGATGATAAGGTAAGTGGCGATGATGTTCAGTGTGTTAGATGATGACGTTAAGTTTAATACCCCAGTAGTGTGCTCAATGATCAATGAACTAATAGTAATACATTCATAAGTACCAACGAAGTAACAACACATCACACACATAAATATAAGAAATAGCGCTATCACTCACACTCAAACAACTACACATGCAAACAGCCACACATACAAACGACCACACATGCTAACAACAACACATGCAAACAACCACACATGCTAACAACAACACATGCTAACAACAACACATGTGAAACAACAACACATGCAGACAACCACACATACAAACAATCACAATGCAAACAACAACACATGCAAACAACCACACGTGCAAACAACAACACATTCAAGCAGCAACACATGCAAACAACAACACATTCAAACAGCAACACATGCAAACAACAACACATTCAAACAGCAACACATGCAAACAACAACACATTCAAACAGCAACACATGCAAACAACCACACATACAAACAATCACACATACTAACAACAACAAATACAAGCAGCAACACATGCAAACAACACACGTACAAACAACAACACATACAAACAACCACACATACAAACAACAACACATGCAAACAACAACACGACAAACATCACACACAGGCAAACACGTGAACAGGGACACCAACAACAACCTTCCACACTGTTGAAACATTTCAACAGCAAGCAGATCTGATAATCTAGTCAACCAATCGTGTTCTATTGTACAAATTATATATATTTATATTATTGTAAAGAATATGCATGCATATTGCATATGTATATGTATGTATATATATGTATATATAATAGGGTGGTTCAAAAAAAATTTTTTTTTTAATATTTAAGTGCACACCCCTTATATTTTTTCCTTAGCTGAAAGTTAGCATGTGTGCAAAATTTCATTCAATTCTGACAATATTTAGAGATTGCTCAATGACATTCAGTTTTTCACCATATTTAGCATATAAGCGAATATTGGTCAGTGCTACAATTTTGTGTTTAATGTTTATTTTGCAGTAAAATGAACAACATTCTTGTGAAAATCATGTAAGATTTAACAGTTCTACAAATTTATACTCAAAATAACAAAATATTCAACACTAAACAAACAGTTCTCACAAGGTAAAGGCAACTTGATTATGCCAAACGAAAGTTCAGTACTGTTAATCTTTGATTGAGATACTGAAATTAACTTGAGGCAATTAATGTACTCAGTTTATGTTTTTCTGTTAATCACTCATAGTATGTCAGACTCGAAACATAGCAGCAGCTGCTTGAGCACTGGCTAATGTGCGCTTAGAGGAGTCCGGAATACGTGTTCGATTGTCCTCCACCACCTGTATCAGTTTTTGCAGTTCTGTTTCATTTTTGGTTATAGACTGGTTAAAATTTGTCATGAGTGCCACAGTGCGTTCTGCAGTGTCATTAACGACCTTAAGTGACTTCACAACATTTGCTACTTTTTGAAATAAAGGAAGATCATTCCATGAGTCTGGTTCAGTTTCACGCAAGATAGCAACATCCATTCCAAGTAATAACAATGCAGCACGAGATGTACCTGATACCAGATCATGCAGTGGTTTGCTTTTCACCTGTTCCAGTTCAGTTGCAGGATATTTGACACCTCGCACACTCCAGTCAGAATCTACTGCAGTCATTGCTTCCACAATCAACTGCTTCTCAGCATTTGCAACCTTATTTGAGAACAATGACAGCCAAACCATTTCTGTACCGAGATACCACAGATGATTCTTCAACTTTTTTGTGGCAGCACTTGCTACATTCTTGTTGATTTCAGAGTATTGTTCAATTCTGCTCAGAAGTTGCAGGTCATTGACTGGTGCATCACTGGGTATTGGGCACAACATCCATGCTGGCACATATATATGGGTTGCAAATAGGCAGAATTCAGTTAAACTTTTTGTTTCAGTTGCTGTTAGCTTGAATTCATTGCGGAACAAATACATTTTGAGACAGTAGATCACTTTGGCCATCCATCTGGCCATGTGATATGCTCCAGGAACACGGAAATGGA